TTAGGTGAAACCATTGGGTGAAAAAACGGCCAAAACCGCGAAAAAATCGAGAAAAATCGATAAAAAGGAAAAAAATTAGACAAAAATTTTGCGAAAATATTTATGGTTGGGTTACGGTAGCACTCGTTTGCCGGCTGTGTTTTAGAAAATTCTCCTTGAAATACGGTGGCCTAACTTGTGTGAAAATTCGGCCACAACTCCAATTTTTTTAATATCAAAATTTTGTTTTTTTTTTCAGCTTAAAGAAGGGTTCTGGGCTGAATTGCGTGCTTTAAAATAATCATTTTGACACAAAAAGTATCAAAAACCAACAGAAAATTTTTGAATTTTTCGGTACCCGGGCCGGAAAAATTTTTCTATAGCGCGGCCCGGACCGGGCCGGGATTTAGCAAGTATTTTATCGTTCCAGGATCTTTAGAAAATTGAAAGTTTAACTCCGAAATTTCTTAGAATTTTCGAAATTCCAACCTGTTTCTTACAACCTTGGTACATTTCTATTCAAAGAATCATGAATATGGCTAAACTTGATCCTGATCCATTTCCAACTCCCCCATAAGTCCTTTGAATGAAATAGTAAAATGATTAGTAACTTTTGAAAATAATGACTTTGCACTTTTTCTTCTCTATTTCTTTTTTTCTCGCCCGGGTGTAAGTTATAACAAATATAATTGAGCTCTTATAAAGTCAAACAATTTTTCAGTCCGTGTACTACGGAAGGAAATTACATCTTTTGTGCATTCTGTCCTATAGTCAGAACATTAAACAAAACAAAATCGTGAACTAATTTTTAGTTCGAGTTTTCTCTTTTCTAGTTTGTGAGATTATTTCTCTTTATTTTTTCTTTCAAGCTCATTCCTGGCTGTTCTACTTGTACGCAATGGATTATCTTTTCGATGGATTCGTATTTTTGCTACAATGCCTTTTTCTCATTCATATTGTGATTCTTACTTCTTTTGAATTCTATGTATTGGTGTTCAAAAAAAATCTTTCATTCAAGAGCAAGTTCTTCAAGTCAGAGCAGATTAAAAAAAATTTTTAACTTCATTACTATGGCGAACACGTTCTTCATAATGTAACTACCAAGATTTTCATACTTGTAAAATTCCGGGCCGGCCCGCCAAAGCCCGGTCCCTGGGCTTGAGGAAAATTTCAAGACACGGTAGCAAACATTTTGTCATTTTGAACCGAATTTTCTATATTTTTGTGCTTTTTGGACTGTTTGTCTGTTTGATCAAAAAATATCAACAAAAAAAACTCAAAAAAATTTTTTGATCAAAAAAATCACATAAGTGTCCCCCTTATATGTTTTTTGAAATTTTCAAAACTTGTGGAGTGACAGGCCCGCCGGGCCGGGCCGTGCCGGGCCTCCCAAATTCGGGAAAAAGCCCGGCCCGTTACAAGTATGAAGATTTTCCGGTCGAGATGGAATCATGTCGTCAGTATATGACTGACTTGTTGAAACTGTCCTACCAATTACCAAAAAAGCGATTTGTTTTCAGATGACTCTTTTATCAATAGAGTTTTCACAATGTTCAGCTATTTCTTGACGTATGATCAATATTTTCTAGTTCTGATCATCGCATGTGAGCGTTTGTCGAGCACTCTTGATTGTACGAGCAGACTCCGATGCGTACGAAAAGTTAGTTTTTTGAAGTCCTTCCTATACGTGTACTTTAAGCTCCTGTATCTTGGTTCTTGTGAGAGATATCAAATTTTTGTCCACGGATTAAATATTGGTGGCATTATGATTATCAATTTATCAATAACTTTTTTCGTTTTGTGAAGGAACTGAGATAATTGAGCCGAAATGCACGTATATGTTGGGCCTCTGTTTTAGGAAATACTGTATATTTCTTGATATTGTCTATTCAAAATAATCGCACCAGTGAACGAGTGAAGAAACGTGTAGAGAGTCTCCAAACCTGTAGAGGCGCTGTAGAGCAGGTTTTTTTCACTCGTTCACTTGTGCGATTAATTCAACAAGATCACAAAACGTAGAGAAATTACTGGAACATTAGTAAGACTAACAACACTGACTTGCTTCATGAATTCTTTTTTTTCAGTCTCTAAAAGACAGTTTTTACATTTTAAACCCCTTCATGTTTGCCACTTCTGTGATTTCTTTACTTTTGAGGTCGGAAACGTGATTTTTCCGTTTCGATGTGAAGCTCATAAAAAAGAAATACGTCCAAAGCAACATTGTGATCACAACTTTTTTGGAAGCTTTGTTTCAATGTCTGGGAGTGATTTTAAGTATCCGAAGAGTTCGAAATTAATGAGATCGGGAACGATTATACGTTTCAAAATCGCTGTTCTCTAAAAATGACTCTAAAATATTTTTGCCTCAAAACCCCCGGGCCAGTCGGACCGCGACATGTATGATAAAATGAAAAACCTAAAGTTAAAATTCAAATCAAGAAACTGTTTTGGGTGTACTAAAGCCCATTTCTGAAGCTTTGTTTTGTTTGTATTTCAATATCATTTCTGAAATTCTGACATCTCAAAATTTCAAAATTCTTTCCCAAACTTCTCGAATGTCCAAAAATAACGAAAATGCGTTGAAAAATAAAAATTTCACATCAGTGGTTTTTATAAATTTCGGACTCAGATTCAAAAACCAGGAGTCAGAGCTCCGATTCAGAGGAAAAAAACCCACAATTCTGGAATACGGTAGTCGATTTTCACAGGTATTTTGTACTCCTGAATTGGCCATTTTAATAATTTAATTATGTCAGAAAGAACATGGATATAATGTTTTCATTTTTCAAAGATGAGGATTTCGAACCTTCAAAATCGATCTGAACCCTAATGAATCCAATATATTTTGTACGCTTTCAATTATTTGCCCGAAAAGTTCTAAAATTCAAATTTTCTTTGGAATCAAATTTTTTGGACTACCCAATCCATATTGCCATTTTTACCAGTTTTACTCTTCAATATACAAATACCGTATACGAAAAGTTCATTTCACAAAACTATTTCGCGAACAAAACTATAAGTTTATATTAGCTTATTTTCAATAAAAATAATAATTTTTAGATAACCATCTCTTTAATCCTCTCGACATATTTGATGTGCACGATAGATGAGACGTTGTGTATGTTAGGCATTCCTCAGCCATCTCCTCACAACATATGTCATTTGATCTTTGCACCTCTTCTCCTCGTTCATAACGAGAGACAATCTTATGTATGTGCGCTTTTGTTGTATGTGTATAGGTGCAATTGAGTACAAACGAGCAGGAGAAGGGCGAACGGAGTTTTCGGAGGACTAAGGGCCAAGAAGACAGCACACGATAGGTTCTCTGAAAAGAAGAGGTCAACCAGCAGATGGTGCGTACCGGTAGCAGAGAAGGAATCTATTCCGCAACCTGGCGTCAAGTTCATTGCAAAACCGTGAGGAATGAATTTGAATTTTATTCTTCCTCTATTGATACCTGATTCACTGAATGTGATAATTGGAAACCTTCTTTTCAAAAAATTAAGTTTTGCAGGTAAACATATAACAATTACTATCGTCCGGCACCGTTTGATGGTTAGAGATCGATGGAAAACTTCAAAAACGAACATAAAATTAATTTATTCTTGGTGAGTATTTTAACTGTCGTTTGTCAGTTTTGGAGTAATCCAAACTTTTAAAAATCCGAAATTCGAAAAATTTAGAATTCAATTCTGAAGAACTCAATTTTATTCGTTTTTCAAATTTCAGAAAAATTTTTCATTGGTGATTTATTCCGAATTTTTTGCGTGGAGCATTTCATTAACAATAAGGACACCAACACCGCTTTAGATGTAAATTTTGAATGAATCCTTAGTGACTTCTAATTGTGTTAGGCGGAGACATTCAAGAAATCTAGGAAACCGTTGAACTTCACAAAATCGGGAATGAAAAGATCGCCGAAATCTGGCCTGTAGGCGAAACCCCTGTTTTGAGAACACGAGTGTTGCATAAGCGAAAGAAAATTTCAAAAGCTTTCATGCCGTCGTACCCGGAGTCTACAAATTGGGTATCAAGAGTGATGGTGTGCGTAAAACTCCTGCTGAAATCACCAAATTCTTATTGATCTGTGTGGATCAAAAGACAAGCGTATCTCAAGTAGATCCTCCACAATGCTCCTAAATTATCAGGATTGATGTGAACAAAATGCCAAAAGAACAAAACTGTATTCAGTGTTGAGTAAAGCCTAATTTTACCAACTGTTTGATAAGTAAGTATTTCATTTGAATCAAAAACAGAAAATTTTAGAATTGAAATACAAAAATAACATACTCCTCTGATGCCAGGAAACCAAGTTTCGATTTTAAGAATGTTCGAAATCAATTATTTCACAATTTTCTTGAAATAAACGGGAAAATCCAGTGTTTCGTACCTCGATAGATATTTTGCTTAGAGAACCTCCATGAGGAGCTTAACTCATGAGGAATAGATCAGATGCTTTTACTTTCAAGGATTAGGGACTAGGGTTTAAACTTTTGTTGATAGATATTTTTTTAATTCTGAAAAATCAGAAAACTGGAACTGATCACGCACACCAAACTTATGATGTATTTTTTTTCAGGTTCCAAGCTGGACATCGAAATCAGAGGAACATCTTGTTCGTTCTCTAAAAATTCCAAACGATCCGTCACGAGGAAAAATCCATCCCAACGCTGCTGAACTGTTTCGAACTGCATTCAGTGCTGTGAAAGCCTGATATTACCTATAGTATGACGAGTAAGTATTATATTTAAATTAAAAACAGAACACCGCCAATCACAATTAATCATTTCCCCATCCAAACATCTAAAAAGCTCATACTTGCTGAATCCCGGCCCGCGACCGGGTTCCGAATATTTCAAATTTTTTCTGTTTGTTTTTGATACATTTTTGTCAAAATAACAATTTTAAAGCACGAAATTTATCCAAGAATACTTATTATAGCTGAAAACAATAACATTTTATGAAATGTTCCTAAAAATCCAGTTTTCTCTCAAAAAATGACTTTGAAAAATGTTTTCCTCAAAAACCCGGCCCGGCCCGGACCGCGACATGTATGGAAAAACTGAGTTTTGGGGAGCCGTTGTTTTTCGTAACTTCGCTATTGTGCCTCACTTTTTCGAAAATGACTTAAATATTGAGAAATTCGTGAGAGAATTATTTGAATGAATTTCATCACTTTTCATTACAAACGAACTGTAAAAAAAATATTGCGCAAAATTTTGAATCATATTTCCAAACGAATCAATCCCCCCGAAAAGTAGATTCGTATAAATCGGAAGCCAAAGGATCATTGATCAAAATTTTCAGTTGAAGCGGCATCACAGGAGCTGCATGGCAACGTTTCAAAACCGATCCTAGCTCAAGAAACCGAACGATGTCTGTTGAGTGAGTATTTCATTTTCCCTAAAAAAGAAATTTTACAAAAAACCTTCAAATGAGTCTGAAGAATAGAAAAAATTTCTACCAAAAACTATGAAAATCATGTAAAAATATCAAAATCCAGGCCAATCGTTAATTTCGTTAACCAAGAGAACATTTTCATATAATCCGGTCAGCGGCTGTTTCTGCAATTCTCATTAATAGGAAATCATCTCATCCGCTCGTTTCCAGTTTTTGATGAAGACAATAAGTGTGCTGAAACAATGGTTGCGTTTCGAAAATTTCATCATTGACGAGATTTGTGAGAACATTCAACTTTGTCAGAGAAATTATATCAAATAATAAATAAATTAGGTTGGCACATAAGTTTCTTCCTTTTTTGACAAAATTTTCGATAAAATTTTTCTCAAAGCGAAGGGGGCTAAATCAATGAAAGTAATGTAAAGTAAGCATGAATAACTGTCTGGCAATGCTCAGGTAACTCACTGATTACATCGACTCAGAACGACGAGGGCTGCGATTGAAAAAGTGGGTCAACTTCATTTTTGTGTCAACTTTGCAATTAAAGTATTTTCTATCAAGATGACGTTTAAGAGTCACAAAAAAACTAATTTTCCGAACAGGCAAGGTCCGGAAAATACTATGAGTGCAAAAGAATAGTTCAGCCCAACGACATTAATTTTTGGCTGACCCTTCTAATCACTGGCAATCTCGCTGTGCTGGAAAAAAAACTTTGGTCTTTTCTCCTTGTTTCGATTCGACGGCGAGATTCAATTTCTCTAATTGAAAACTATACAAAACGGCAGTTACAGTAATACCTTCATCTAAAAGTTCACAGTCTCCATTCCTTTGGAAGACCACGAAATACAGATCAACCCCATTTTCACATGAAATGTGGGTTCCGGGACGTTCAGAGGTAGATATTCTTTATCAATCAACCGACCCTTCATGTCTACACAGCGATCCATACCGTAGCCCTTCAAAAAATTGGGAACAAATCGACCCAGTTTTTGACTTGGCCAAGAGACTTTTATCCGTTCACAATACTTGGTTGACTAACGGATAATGCCTTTGACATTTTACGAGTGGTTTGAAACGGGTCGGTTTCGATAGGGTTCTTCAAGAGGACCAATTCCAACTTTCGGGCCGATCTTCGTCTTCTGATTCTAAACCTTTGGCTTCAAATCGATCGGTCTAATGCTTGACGGTAAAGACAGTAGGTGATCCTTCTTTATCTATTTCTTTCAATTTCTTGTGAATATCCTCATTTTTCGAACCAGAAAAAATTAAAATAAAATCACATTTTGAAAGTGTGGACTGTGAGGGGCAAGACTGTGAGATACTCTATCCAACAAAAACACATTCGCCAAGAAAAACTATCTCACTGATGAGATATGGTTTCTCAAAGTTGAGCATTGAAAATCGGAAGAAACTTATGTGCCAACCTAATAAATAGATTTTTGTGATTTCCGAAAGAATCCTGTGAAACACACACGTGTTGGGGTGAACTCGAATGTTGGAGGACCGATGCATACCATTAAGGTACAATTAAACATGGGATAAATTGTGACATAAATTTGTTTAGAACTCGGCTGTTGCCCGCAACTTTTAGGCTGAATTTGAGCGGCTTCTGGGCTGTGACAGGGCGGATGTCGCTTTAGTTTTCTGTAGAAGCCGCCCAGCGACCGCTCTAAAGACGCCAAATCTACGCTCAAGATTCGCGTAGCTCACATGAAATCTGACCATAGGCTCTAAAAAATCTGAAATTTCTCTCGAAATCAATTTTATAAACTTGATTTATTTTTAAAAACCAATAGCTAACAGAAGAATGACAACAATAAACAGAATAACAAAAAAAAAGATTGTCTGTTAGATTTGCGTTGGATAATGATGTGGGTAGGGTAGGCAGTAGTTGTCACTTGGATGCTCTGAAAAAACTACGAAGATAATTGTATTGATTATATTGTCGCTTACCAATAAGATCTGTCTGATGAAAGTCGGGACATCATCACACAAGACACGCTGGTGAGAAGTTGGCTCAGAAAACCAACTTCACGTTCTTGTTCAACGCATATCGACCATCTATCTGCTTTTCGAACACCACCGATCCCTCAGATGGCATGTACTGAAGCTCATAATAAATTGAACGGATGAGTCCACGAGGAGCGAGAACGATCGGGTCGACGTGGACGATGAACTTGCCGTTGGCGCCGTTTAGGCTGTCCGGTTTGCATACGTATTGGATTGATGAGCAGAAGGAGAGTCCTTCTCGTTTGGATCGTTGATCAGAACGAAGCTGGAATTCGGAGTTTAGGTTCTGAAGGATCTAGGGGTTTAAAGATCCAAGGATCTAGGGATCTAGGGATCCTCGGGACTTTGGAACCAAAAGCTCCTCCCCACTTACCACGCGATCAGATTGCTCTGATTGACACCGTAGTGAAGAGTCATATCGTAGTATTCTCGGTTGCAAAACTCGGAAATCTCTCGGCACAGCGGGGAGCATTGTCGTTACGGGCGTGAGCTGTTTCATCTTTGATGATACTCATCAGATGTATTACGATCTACAAGTTTCACAATTTTTCGAATCACATTCCTATGTTTTTACCTTTTTGTAAACTTTGGATTCCAGTATCAATTCTTGCTGCCCGAATACGTGTTGAAATCTCGTTCCTTCTGATAATCATCATAAATACGTTCACAAATTATGTGTTTTACGAAGTTGTCTTTTCGACCTGGAATTCAACATTCTGAAAAATCCATTCATCTTCTTTTTTTTTCAGATATCCTCACTTTAATTTCGAATTTCTGACTTCAAAACCAATTTCTGAACGTCCTATATTCGAAACCAAGTTTTTGATACTATTACCTAAAAGGTTTTTCATTTTTAGAACAGAAACGGCAAAGAAAATGAGATGCATTACGCTAAAATAGGTGAAAACGGATAAAGCTTGATTTCGAAAAGAAATTCTAATGCACGCAACGCGAGGCACGCGTCGCTTTTAAAATTCGCCCAAACATCGCCCAAGATTAGCCAAGGCGATGGTGGTCGGCGCAGCTGCCACAGATCTAGGAGCTTCCGGTTAAAAGCCGCCCAAATAACGCTCTAAAGCCGCATATACCCCTGTTTTCGCTCTAAAGTTGCAGGCCACAACCGAGAAGATATAAAATACAATTGACATAGAGAAAACGACTGATCGATGTTAATAATGTAACAAAAGAATTTCGATTGAGAGTCTCCTATAAACCATTGAAAAATAATTTAGCTTATTAACTGGATTAAAGCTTCTATTTGTGGGAAAACCGGGATTGATCTAGGGATCTACTGTATTATGAGTATTTGTTTTTAGTGACAATCGCTTTGACAGCATTAAAAGTTTCATAATCAGCTATGATTTGTGCGGTGGACCGATCTCCTCCTTCTTTCCATGCCATTATATTCACGACGTTTTGGATTGAATCGTCCAAGTGATGCAAAGTTAAAGCTTCAGTAGCTGGATCCATAGAACTGTTCACATTCGAAACCGTTGTCTTTAAATATTGATTCATTGAAAATCATACATTTTTTTCGTTTGTTGGGTTTTTTGGAAAAAAATTGCGAATAAAAAAATTTCCTTTTAAAGGTGGTGTACGGTGAAATTTTTTATTTCATCAAAATGTGCAGAAATGCATGTAGATTGACATAAAAATAAAGAAAAAATTCAAAAAAATCCTTCATCGAGAAAAACGCATCAAAAAATACGCTGAAAGCCCTTAGGGACGAGCTTTTTTTCTAGGCCGCCCGGTGAGTGAAAGCGCGCGAATTCAAACTTTTTAAATTTTTCGCTCGTTTTCACTGTTTTTTTAAGTTTTCCGATGTATCTGGAAGAAAAATTGACAAAAACCTTGAAAAAACTTGAAAAAACCGAAAAAAAAGTGAGAACAAGCGAAAAAATTTTGAAAGTTTGAATTCGCGCGCTTTTACTCACCGGGCGGCCTAGAAAAAACTCGTCCCTAAGGGCTTTAAGCGTATTTTTCGATGCGTTTTTCTCAATGAAGGATTTTTTTTTGAATTTTTTCTTTATTTTTATGTCAATCTACATGCATTTCTGCACATTTTGATGCAATAAAAAATTTCACCGTACACCACCTTTAAAGGAATATTCCGACTTCGAAGAAATTTCGAATTATAAATATTTGAATTTAAAAGAAATTTTGCATTTAAGAAATCGGATTTCGAAGAACTTGAAAAACATGACAATCCATTTTTTTGGTCCGAATTTTTTCAATTCAATTTTTTTAAATCCAAAGAGGCAAAAAATTTCTTACCGTGTCGCTGTCGGTACTATAAATTGTTCCAATCGAGCTCTGATGAACGAGACGTGGTTGAAGAGGTGCTTTAGGTGGTTTAACCATCTTTCTCACCTTGTCTTTCAATCTCAATTCATTCAAAAACTTGCTACTTGGTTCGTTCACGCGCTCCAGAACACAATCCATCAATTCCTTGTAAGGGTCGGCTTGTTTGGCTCGAGAATGTCCAGAATCTTCCGCAAAATCAGTAAGATTTGTTTCTAGTCCCATCTCGATGATCTTGTTGTATTTCGTCTGAAGAAAATTTTATAGATACAAAAAGCTGTGTCTGAGATTCTAAAATTTGGAATTTCTGAGATTTTGATATTCTGAGATTCTGATATTCTGGGATTTTGATATTCTGAGATTTTGAGATTCTGAGATTCTGAAATTCTGAGATTCTGAGATTCTGAAATTCTGAGATTCTGAGATTATGAGACTATGAAATTCTGAGATTCTGATTCTGAGACTGAAATTTTATAGTAAAATACAAATATACTTTTTTAATAACGTACTTGTCTATAAGGAGGTGGACTCGGAAAATTTGTTGGGGTTCCGCCGCTTGACGTTGAAGGAATAGACGATCCCTCTGCGTCAGCAGATGCATCTTGACTCCGACTCTCCTTCAACCATCCAGTTGCTTTCACAGTTTTTTGCGGTTCCTTCTTATTTTCGGTTTCGGTCGGTAATGGAATTTTGATTTTCTTTTGTTGTTTTCTCTGAAAAAAATCTCGGTCTCGTATATGCAATACTCAGAAAGTAACTCACTGTTTTTCGGTTAGGAGCTTTGTATGGTTTGTAGCGCTTGTCTACTCCAATGACTTTCTTGGTTTTGATAGTATCTTGATGTGGTGGTACAAGTGAGCTGATATCCAAGTCTTCAGTGTTTTGTTGTTGCTCCTGTTTAAGCAAGACGTCAATGATGTCCACCATATTCAAAATTGGAGGCTCATGTTGAGTTGAGTTTTGGTTTTTTGTTGGAATCGGTAAGATCAAGTTCTTATTCTTGTTGTGTTGTTTTTGCTGTTCCAATTTCATGGATTGTTCCATGATATCCGAAATTTCTATATCGATAGCGTCCTGAAGATTAAAGCTGCCTCCCTCTAATGAGCTCAATCGTTCATGCCCATTATTTCGCTGTTTTACAAGTTCAACCGAGCTTTCGATAATATCCATCAAGTCTTTATTGAGTGGGTCCGGACGGTTAAAATGACCTAACAGCTGAATTACGGATGAAACATTCTGAAATAATAATTATCTGCAAATCAAGGTAAAATTATTGTTCACTTACCTGATGTGATTGTCCATTCTTCTTGTTAATATCAGTTGTCATAGGAAAATGCATGGGATTTGAAGATACGTATTCTTCGATGATCTTGCGACTCGATTTGTAGCAATTTTCCACCCAGAGCTTTCGCGAGTTGAAGTCGATAACTCTCTCTATAGAGTTATCTACCGATGTGAACTCCGACGAATTCGCCTGAAATTTAAGGTTTTAGCCTCATCTATCTTAAGAAAAACTTTAATTTGATCATGGAAACACACCACCCTGAGCTTCCAAAACTCTCCAGGCGCCATCACGCAAATCGCGCCAGAGGTCCTCTTGGCGCAATAAGGGGTTTTTGATTTTTTGCTGAAATTTCAGTTTTTTCAAATTAATCCGTTTTTTCGCATTTTTTCAAAATTCTGGTTAATAGAAGTTGTAGAGCAGTTCGAAATACAGTACCGGACAAAAAGAAATCAACTTTTAGTTTTACGAGGGTATCTCGAAAACTATGAGAGCTAGGACTCTGAAATTTTGTATGTATGTTTTTGAAAGGCTCAGAAATATTCCAGAAAAATATCAAGTCCGAAGACACCCGTCTCCTTAACTCTATGTGCTCATTTTAAGAAAGATGTGACTTTTCGATGTATTTTTGAGCGCTTTTCAGCTTTTAAATTTTCGTTTTTTCACTTTTATTTTTCTGAATCGGTTTCTTCTCGCATGAAAATAATTTTTTCAGGTCATCATCGATCGCCAAACTAATTTTTTTTGAACTTCTCCGCCTAACTTATATCAACTTCTGCACATCCAAAAGTCGACAAGAAATGCAACAAAACTCCTTCGTTCTCAATTTTTTAGTTCTGTGTTTGTTTTTTTCTTCCACCATCGCCTAATAAATATGTTCAGAAAACTCCCTTGCCTTTTTACCTACTTAACTGATTTATTTTTAAACTCTTCTCGAGCACTCACCCCGTATTTTTACTTTTCTTCCTCGGTTCTGTAATTTGACCGATTTGAGCCAATTTCTCATAAGAAACGCACAAAAAAAACCACAGCAATTAATACTACTTTATTGTTTCTCGTTATAAAATATATTTCAGAAGAGAATCATCACTTTTCCTCAAATGGCTATATCGAAGTTGATATGGATGACAGCTTTGGCTAATTTTTGGTTGTGTAGAAGTTGAATTCGATCTGAAAATAAGTTTGGCGGAGAAGTACGAATCTGTAATTGTTGACTAACCGCGAATTCCTTCCTTTTAATGATTTTTCCTTTTTTAGTTGAAAAAAATCAAAAAAAGTAGTTTGAAGATCGATGAGAACCTGGAAAAATTATTTTCATGCTGGGAATAGTCGATACAAAAAAATAAAAGTGAAAAAACGAAGTTTAAGAAGCTGAAAAGCACTCAGAAGTACATCGAAACGTCACATTTTTTCTTAAAGGTGGGGGGACATGAAAAAAATAATGTTCTCGAAATTCCGTTCAAAGATGCCCCTCGAGGAGTTGAACTTGTGAGGGCGATGATTGAGGGTGCGACGCCGCTACCGACTGAGCCACGCGGGCAAAGAGAAAGCGCACGCCCGATTGCATACATAAAGGCGAGGACGACAGCTGTACGCAGAGTAACATTAAGCGTTGTACACCGTGACGGTAGAATGCATACTCTAGCTACAAAAAAACTACGAAAAATCTCCTGTCCCCCCACCTTTAAAATGAGCAGATAGAATTAAGGAGACGACCAAATTTCAAGAATTTACCCATTTTTGATGTACAGTACCGGACAAAAAGAAATCAACTTTTAGTTTTTCGAGAGTATCTCAAAAACTATGAGAGCTAGGACTCTGAAATTTTGTACGTATGTTTTGAAAGGCTCAGAAATATTCCAGAAAAATATCAAGTCCGCAGACACCATATCAGACGCGCAATAGCTTAAAAAATTATATTTTCGAATTTTTCAGTTTTTCAGAGTTTTCACTTTTTTTGTTTTTTTTTTTCAATTTTTTTCGGTTTGTTTGTAATGAGTTTTGTTCCTATAGATGGGTAGAAAACATAACAACAAAACGTCTACTTTGGCGGTCCAAGAAGCGGTCGTTCAGGGCATCCAGATGGGTCTGAAGCGCAAGGATCTGGCTCTTCAATTCAACCTTGCAAAATCATCCATTACTAGGATTTATGAGAGATATCAGGTTAGGGAATCATGTTTATTTATTGTAAAATTCTTGTTTCAGCTGCGACAAGGCGCTGTCATTCGAAAATCTCCGGGAAGACCACGGAAAACCAATCATCTCACCGATCGGAATATAGTGATGACCTCGAGAACGAATCCAAGATTGAGCGCTGGGGAAATTTCAGCGATCGTGGATGGTCCAATGACTCCCGTACCTCACGTCTGAACTTTCAGACGTCGACTGGCTCAATCTGGACTGAATGGAAGAAGACCAGCCAAGAAGCCATTCATCGCCAAAAACAATGCCAAAAACAGAAAAAAATGCCAAAAACAGAAAAATCCGTGTTGACTGGGCAAAGGCTCATGTTGGTTGGGGACGCGCTGAGTGGAAATCTGTACTGGTCTGACGAATCCAAGTACAATTTATTCGGAAGTGATGGTGTCAAGTGGATCAGACGTCCGGTAGGCACCAGGTACTCACCCCAGTACCAAACGCCAACCATGAAACATGGTGGAGGATCGATCTGTGTTTGGGGATGTTTTTCGGCGTACGGTAGGGACCTCTAGTCCGCATTTTGAGTCTAATGGATAGATTCCAATATGAATCGATCTTGGAGAGTCATATGAGACCATTTGCTCGTCAGTCCATCGGTCGGTCGTTCACTTATCAGCAGGACAACGACCCAAAACATACGTCCTTGCATGTTCGGAATTGGTTCAATCGGCGTCATGTGAACGTTCTGCCTTGGCCAAGCCAAAGTCCCGACTTGAATATTATCGATCCACTCTGGGAGGAGCTGGAGAGACGCCTCAAAGGAAAATTTGCCTCCAACGCGGACCAGAAATTCGTTCAACTTCAAGATGCTTGGTCGCAGATCCCACAGTCGACAATTGATGCTCTGGTTGATAGCATGCCTCGACGCTGCCAGGCCGTGATTAACAACAAAGGATACCCAACCAAGTATTAAACTATTTTCATTTTCTTCCCGCTTTATTTTTAAGTGATTTTGTTTTTTTGTAATGTTTAATGAAACTGTTGCCTGTTAAGCGAAATTCCATTGTTCTCAATTTTTGCAATTGCGCGTCTGATATGGTGTCTTCGGACTTGATATTTTTCTGGAATATTTCTGAGCCTTTCAAAAACATACATACAAAATTTCAGAGTCCTAGCTCTCATAGTTTTCGAGATACCCTCGTAAAACTAAAAGTTGATTTCTTTTTGTCCGGTACTGTATTTCGAACTGCTCTACAACTTCTATTAACCAGGAATTTAAAAAAATGCGAAAAAACGGATTAATTCGAAAAAAAACTGGAATTTCAGCAAAAAATCCAAAATCCCTTATTGCGGGCCTCTGGCGCGATTCGCGTGCGCAATATGACGCGCAACTGGTGACTTTTGGAAACTCAGGATGGTGTGGGAAATGAATAATTTTTTAGTATTGTCTTTATTGAAATAATGTTTTTAAAAAGTTAAAACTTTCAAAACTTCGAACCAGCTTATCTCGGTTTCTGTAAAATATATCAAAAAATTCGAAAATTGCTGTCTCTGCATTGAATAGGGAATTTATGGTATTGCACCTGACTTAGCATTGAGTAAAAAATCTAACAAATTTCAAGTCAAATTTTTATCAGATTAATTTCTAACGAAAATTTTAGAAATCTGAAACCAGCACTTTAAGAAAAAGTAGAACTAAAATAGTGACGCATTTTCAGAAACGCATGACCAGAACTTCAATTTATGATTTGAGGGAAGACTCTCAGCATACATGAGCGATTTTCGTGAAGGCGGCGTTCCGCTCATTTTCAGGTCGCCAAAATTGGTTTTCTTGCAATTTTGCTGTGAAACGAAACGCTATTGTATCAGAATGTAAACTGAAAAACTTAGCCTAAAAATTATGCAGCTTGCCATGCGAAAATTTTTAATTTGTTTCAAATTTCTGACTTTCCGAAAACATATTTGGAACTTTCCGGAGATTCGAAATTAAAAAAAAAGAATTGGATTCTCCGTGAGGCCGTATTAGCAGCATTTTTTCTACACAAGTACAAATAGTTCAAAAAATGCGATAAACAGCTTTAAACTTCAGCCTGTTTCGAAAATTGTATTTGTTGTAGAAGATTTTTTTTTAATGATATGCTTGGTGAGTAATTATAATAAGGAAATATTTGGGATTCAGAACTTTGGGAACATCTAAATTTTGAATATTAATCTTTCGGATTTTCAAAGATTAAAAAACCAGAAACAAAACTAAAATTCTTTGATTCACCATTGATACAAAACAAAAAATTCTCATACTAACCTTATCACTACCGTAGATTCTTCCAAAAAAAGCAAAAACCGGGCGATTCAAGCAAATATTCATATGAGCTTCGAGTTGTCTGACACACCAATCACAGAGAGCCTCATCTTTTGCAAAGCATTGAGGAAAAAGAGAATCACCTTTCTTGATTTTGTGGCACCCAGAAAAAATTGGAGCACGTTTTGTATCATGAATCTGGAAATCAAGTATTTTGTCTTTATGTCTAGACCCGAAGGCAAAATTTTCGGCAGAAATGTTCGAAATGGCTTTTTCGGAATGTCGAAAATTCCGAGTTTCAAAATTTGGGAATTCGGAAATTTGGGAAGCTTGGAATATTTCGATTTTAAAACTTTGAGAATTTAGGAATTTTTCTATTTCAGTGGTTCGGAATATTGAAATATTTTTAAAGATTCTGAATTTAGGGAATTTAGGAAATCTCTCAAAAAAGCATTGAAACTTAATTTGAAAAAAAAACCTTTTCGGAAATATTTCGACCGGAACTTCATTCCAAGTTTTTTAAAGGTGGGGGGGGGGGGGACAGGAGATATTTTTTTGATTTTTGGGGCCAGAGAATGCATTCAACCGTAACGGTGTACAACATACTTGTAAAATTCCGGGCCGGGCCGGNCCTGANGCAAATTTCAAGGCCCGGGCCCGGCCAAAAAATATCAAAAAAACTTGAAAAAAATGTTTTGATCGAAAAAAAATCACATAAGGGTCCCCCTTATGTGTTTTTTGAAATTTTCAAAACTTGTGGAATGACAGGCTCGCCGGGATGGTCCGGGCCTTCATAATTGGGAAGAAAGCCCGGCCCGGCCCGTTACAAGTATGGTGTACAACGCTTAATGTTACTCTGCGTACAGCTGTCGTCCTCACCCATATGTTTACCATCGGGGGCCAACTTTGCTTTTGCCCGCGTAGCTCAGTCGGTAGCGGCGCTGTACCCCTGATCTGCCTGTCATGAGTTCAACTCCTCGAGGGGCATATTTAAACGGAATTTCGAGAACATTATTTTTTCATGTCCCCCCCCCCTTTAAAGAAACTATACCGGTCGGAATTATCACGGAAAACTCTCAGAGTTTCCAAAATTCCGAATTCCGTACCGATCGTTCCTGCACCTCAGTACTCACCTTATTCATGTCTGTTCCTAGTTTTTGTTCTGATCCCAGTAGCGACTGCTCAGTATCCTTTTGTGTTATCATTTACAGACATGAAGGTTTTACTGAAACAATTGAGTTTTTTCGAAACCAGAAAAAGGTTCAAAGACTAGTTCAAAGAGCAATGAAAAAAGAGAACATTGTGTCTTTTTATAGGAGATCACTAGATGATTCTGCAAAGACGGAAATAGAAAAAAACAAGTGAAGGGCAGCCTAAGGAAACGGAAACGAATCAAAAGCCGGAGAAGGAAATAGAGAAAGAAAAATGGGGGATTTTATGTTAATATCTCTTTTCTCTTTCTTGAGAAAAAAGAAAAGTGAGCCTTCGGTGCATGCGGCCTTTTCTCTGCGTCTCATGCGGTTGAGATTAGTAACTATGACACAAACAAACAAAAAACAAGTGCCCTCTCGCGCTCTCGCCACGTCTCCTTCTCGCGAGTCTAGATTTCAGGAAAACTCCTTTCTTTTCTGCTGCTCCTCACCAAAAAGTCAATGTGTCCTCTTCTCTGACTTGCCTTCTTGATATCCTCCTCTCTAATTTTCGAAGACGTAGAGCTCCTTCCCCCTCTCAAATGTCTATTTCTCTTCTTGTAGTCTACAAAGGTTGAAAATGAACTATGAAAAGGAAAAAAAAAGAGATTGACTGATTTATGGGCTCAACTCTTTTTTTTTCTTTTTTTCATTTTGGAGAGTGAGGAAAGGGAACACGTTATGAGAAAGAGAAAGGATTGATTTCCGGAGTTCAAGATTGGAAATTATGAATCAACCAGCCTTCTGTTTGCCGCGCCTCCGGCGCTTCACAATTTGAGCATTTTCAATTATTCGTCGCTCCACTCCTCACTTTTCAAATTTTCTTTCTCACGCTGTAGAACATCTACGCCTTCCCTCCCCTCTCCTGGTGTGGGCATCATGGCGCAGCTGTGTGCGTGCGCGGCTATTGTGCGGAAGGCCGCGGGTTCGGTTTTGGTGGCGGCCAACCTTTCATTTAAAAATCCAAAACCGGACAGCCGGACACTAGGACCAACAGACGCGTCTAGCGTTTTATATATAAGAAAGATGAATATGAGTGAAAACAAATCAGTTGTATATGTGTTGGTGTGTAGGACATTACTACTTTCTCAAATAATTGGAGCTTATTGAATTGAATCGAATGATGGAGCATAATTTTTTGTAGTCAGAATTTTTTATATCATAATTCGCTGAGCAGGCGTATCAACCTTATATATAGAACGTTAGACGCGTCTGTTGGTCCTAGTGTCAGGGTTTTGGGTTTTTTAATAAGAAGTGTGGCTGCCACAAAACTGAACCCGGGAACCAGAAGAAAAGTGAATAGTGCCGAAAGAGCAACAGCCAGCTGTTTGAAACTCTGGAAGCGCGGCAACCAGAAGGTTGGTTGTGTTAATGAAAAATTAAAAACCAGAATTGTTTGAAACAAATTTCTGAACTTTTAATTCATGAAATTCAATACAAAATGCACGGAATGGAAAAGGTGACGATAACAATTCAATAATTAAAATATCAGAAATTCAGAAGTTCTAATGTTTGAAAAATTTCGACCCCTGTGAAAATTCAGAAAATCAGAAAATTGAAAATTCCGATGATCTTAAAAATCCAGTAGTTTGATTAATGAAAAGAAACATCCGAAATTCATAAAACTCAGAAATTGGAAAATCAAAATTTAAAAAATTCTAGAACTCTGAAATTCAAAAATGCAAGCATTTGGACAACTCTGAGATTCTGAGAGACAGTTTTTTATTCTCAGTAAATTTGAAAATCTAAAATTTTAAGTAATGACAAACAAGCAGAAATATGTATGAGAGAAGAATGAAACATTTTTTCAGGAACATCAGTTATAAAGGGATAAAGAAGAACCGATCTACGATTTGCCTCATTCAACATTATCTGGAATATTTACTTACAAAGAAAACAAATATAATATGAAAACGAGGTATGTTTTTAAATGAAAGTTTGGTTCAACAAATCATTAGTTTTGCGGAAAACAATGAATGCCTTTTCGACTCCTGTTTGTTGAAAATACAGTAATCCAAACCTCCCAGTGTTTTTGATTTTGTAGTTCGATATCATTTAGGTTTACAGTAACTAAAAAGAAATCAGCCGTTTTGATGAGTTAGTTAATTCAGATGGTTATCGAAATTCACGGTTTATCAGACATCTGATTACATCATAGTAAGTTTTATAACGCTTTTAAAAAAGAAAACCACAATGTGGTCGTTTTCCTTATGAAATTTAGAGGGTCTGGAAAATGATTCAGTAGAAAATTATCCACAAAATTTACAAAATTTCGAAATTCCGAGAATTCCGGATATTTAAAAAAATTACAGAAGTTAAACAATTCTGACAAGTTCAAAAACCCCCAAAAAAACGAACCAGAAATCCCGAAAAACAGAAATTCCATAAAAAATCAGAAATTCAAAATCCCAGAAAAATCAAAAATCCAAAATTTCCAAGAAGTAATTATGTACAGTTTTCACTCTATTAAGAAATAGGATTAGGATCAGGATTATATTTTTTAAAGTTATATTTTCTGAAATTATAGTAACCTATGCGGTTCAGTTACATTAGTCCTGCCAGTGAGTTTCTTCAGAAAAACATTATAAGCTTTCTTGAACAGCAAGACATAGTAAAGTGTCCGAAATTTCTAAACCCACAGGGAGAAAGACTCATTTCGACCAAATCATTTTCTTTTGTTTTCTCATTTTATGCATCTTTTTTCAACTGATCAAAAAACAAACCGCGACGCGACCGCTACGCATTCAAAATGTTTCTGGAAGCATTTCGTTGAATGAGTCAGTAAAATTTTAAGGATTCCGATCATTTTCAGTTCGATAACAATCTCAACACCGTAACTAACTTTTCAAAAAATTTGCTGTCCGAACCAAACTACATTAACCCAACCATAAATTGTTCTTCCGTTTTTTAAAATTACTTCAATATCATGTAATTACCGCTGGCTGCTGCATCTTCGGCGCAATTCAATTTTTTTTACTGCTTCGTCGCTCCACCCCTCACTTTTCGATTTTTGCGTGCGCAGCCGTTGTGCGGAAGGCCGAGGGTTCAGATTTGGTGGCGGCCAACCTTTCATTTAAAAACCCAAAACCGGACAGCATGACATGTGGACCAACAGACGCCTCTAGCGTTTTATATACAAGGAAGATTTCTCAATCACCAAGTTTCCCACTGTACTCTTTTTTTTTTGAGTCTCAAAAAGCCATAAACATTTTGCCAGTTGAAATGAGGATTTTTAGCTGAACTTGAAGGGACTACAGTAATCCAACGGTAATAGAGTACCCACAAATTGCGTATCCTGTTAATGCACAACTATTTACAGTTTGCTAGCATGGAATAAACTAAAATCTGACATTTCACACGCAATTTTGTTTGACACTTCCCAAATTATAGTAGCCTATGCTACTTTCGTACGGTAGGCGTACCAATAACTTTCATGAGAAAATTATTATTATCTTTTATCAGTAATATGACGTAATACCGTATCTCAGATTTTGAGACCCAGAGAGAGAGGGAAGCTTTTTAGTGACTCATTTCGACCAAATCATATTCTTTTGTTTTCTCATTTTTATGCATCTTTTTTTCAACTGATCAAAAAACAAACCGCGACGTGACCGCTACGCATTCAAAATGTTTCTGGAAGCATTTCGTTGAATGAGTCAGTAAAACCTTGAGGATTCAGATCATTTTCAATTCGATAACAATCTGAGTGGTGATTTGATAAATCTCGATTGCGTTGTAACTAATTTTTTTTTAATTTGCAGTTATCCTTTTTAGATTGTAACCATAAATCTTCGGACACTAACTACCTTCAACTCTAGTTCTCTCAACACCGTAACTAACTTCTCGCAAATTTCGCTGTCCGAACCAAACTACAGTAACAACCATAACATGTTCTTCCGTTTTTAAAATTATCTTCTATATCATAGAATAATTCCTCAAGTTAAGTAACCAAGTTTTTCACTGCATTATTTTTTCGAGTCTGAAAAAACCATAAACGCTGAAAGCATTCATTCAGTAAATTTTTGAGGATTGGAATCATTTTTAGTTTGATAACAATCTGAGTGGTGATCTTATAAATCTCCATTGTATTTTAACTGCAATGTTTGAATCCGCATCTATCTGTACTGTAGCCATATTTTCTAAATCTTGAGACACTAACTAGAACATTCATTCCCAGCTCTTTCAATACTGTAACCACTTTTTTTCAAATATACCTGTAGTTCAAACTTTTTTCAAATATACCTTAGAAAGCCGGCTCTGTAGCTAAATTTTTCGGAACTACAGTGTCCCATAATATAGTAACCAATAAAAACTGGTATATAGATAGTTGCACAACTTTCCACAGTTATTCAGCAGAAGGTAGAAAAAACCGTTTTCCAATTTTCATCTGTTTTGTTTGCTTAAGACATTATTCATTTTTTATCGCTTTTCGGGGGCACTAGTCATTCACTATTAGCAAGATCTTTTTTGTTGTTCTTTTTTTTAGTTTATTTTATCAAAAAAAATGAAACCGCAACGCGACCTCGTCGCGGTCTTTATCCTCCTGGAAAGGAAAAAATTTTGGAAAAAAAAATTGCTATAGGAAAAAATTCATAAAAAACCCCTTTCCTCCAATGTCAATGAGTCTTATATCTTTCTTTCGCGGCCCTTTCAACAGTTTTGCTTCAATTCAGCAATTTCATTAGTATGCTCGAAATTTCAGCAAAACTTTCTTAGTTAAGTGAAATTATTTTTTAGTGAAAATCTTCTACTTTCTAAATAGAAAAGTTACTAATAAATTGAAAAAAAAATTCTGAACGATCATTTCCTATCGACGTGTTTTTAGAACCTTTTTCCAAAATAATCAGCAAATTGTGCCAGCTTTCTGATGATCCAGTTTTTCAGGTGTTTTATCACTATGGCCCATTTGTGGGCCAAAGGACCTCTCAAGTTTTCCTTGAAAAACAATGCTTATTCGAGTTCCAATGCTCCACAATCCTCATCGCCTGACAATACTACTCAATCGGGTGTTCCTCTGTCAGTTGTAAGATTCTAGAAACGAAGAAAAATTGCAAATAAAAGTAACATCTTTCAGAAAACATCAGAGTCGAAGAAAAATGTCACTTCGGCTGTTTCAACTCGTACCATTTTTTTCGGGTGTTTCAGGAGATCGGATGAACAAGAGGAAATGAAGTTAGAAGAGATGTCGCGCACTAAATCCCACCATTCGGAGAGCGCAACACAAAAGGTCTTGCGGAGTGCATTGAAAAAAGATTCATCGGGAGCTCAGGGTCCACCAACGGTTAGTTTTTTTCAAGCTTGAGAAATAACAAGCCACAGGCCGGCGCGGTTAAGTCGGAGTTTTGTGAGTTTTCAAATCGAAAAGCTACTTGAAAGTTCAACAAGTTCACAACCTATTCGTGAAAAAATTGAAAAAAAAATACCTGAAAAAACACTGGAAACACATATCGGATCTTAGAATTTCTGAGAAATCCCGACATGTTCCAAGTATGAAAAAATCAGATTTTCAACAAAGAGCTGTTTTTAATTTCTATTTTCTGGCTCAATAAAGTCTCAAGTAGTTTTTCGCTGCTAACGATAAGCTAGTAAGCTAGTCAAATTTGCCAAACTAGCCGTTAAGTGGCTTTATAAAATTTGGAAAGACTCTGGGCTCTGAAAGGAATAGACGACCCTTATAAATGGAAAGTAATAATAGAGAAAATAATGTTCTATGTGATTAAAAAGATCCCAAAAATTAGTTTCCAAATTTTGAATAAACTGCAAAAGTTTTTTGAACTAAAATTCCGAAATTCGATCATTGAATATTCGGTTTTTTTTTTTGTTTTTCAATATTCGGAATAAATATATCAGCATTCTGAAAAATTCCATTCTGGCATCTCAAATTCAGTCAATTTTTTGAAAGTGTTTCAACCCGGAGTCTGACAATTTTTCGATACAACGCAAATTTTCAAGTTTTTCAATTTTAGAGGAAATACGGAGTTCACAGTTTGTCGCAAAACGACCAGACCTCAGAACAATCCGGTGTCGAAACGGGAAACGGAAAGCTGGCTCGCAAAGTTCATTTCGAGCAGAGCGATGATGACAAACTTGATGTCGCTAATCCTCGTCCAACTGTAGTTTACTCATCTGACGGTTTCGCAACGTTTGTGGTATGCTTGAAAAAACTTTCCAAAAAAATATTGAAAAATATTGCAGATGGTTAGTTCCCTTGCGAACCAAATGCTCCAATACGAATGGCTATCTTCTCACAGTCGCTATTTGGCGTCGTCTGGTTGGAAGAAGGCACAAACAACGCTTCTAGTCTGTTTGATCAAAAAAGATGGTTTGTATTATGATTCTCAGCTGATTTCAATCCTAAAAATATTTCAGTTCCTTCTCCAAGAAAATACCTAATTGAATCGTACCCTGAATTCACAATTCAACAGGTCCACATGTTCAACAGAATTTATTTTACATTTGCCGACGAAAAAACTGGAAGATTTAGAATCCAGGAGTTGACCCATCTAATGACTCAGCTTGCACGTCCACTCGATCTGTTTTCTATCAAGTATATCACCGAAAACGTATAAATTGAAGACACAGTTGAATTTTTGATTATTGTGAATTTTCAGATTGAACAACAAGAGAATGGCAATATTACTATCCTCACCTTTCTTGATCTTTTCCGAAAGGCCATGAATCATGAATTGTGCAACGTATTTTCAATTTTCAAACATATTGCTCATTGGATTGCATCACAAGAAGCTAAGAACAAGACTCTTTTGGTCGTCGAAAAGAGCGAAAGTCCGAACCGCTGTGGCGCTTCAAAGGAAAAGAACACCAACGAGGTGAGCTTATAGTTTTTTACTGTTGTTTTAAATCAAGACGGTTTGACTTCAGTCTAATCATGCATAGTAAGGGCGGGCCAGAAAGAAAGGGAGCCTTACTCACGTGGCAAATTAGGCTTCACCAAGTGAAGATTCACCGATTTTTCAAAAGTGTCCCGGCTGTTTCCATGAATTCGTTCTTTGGACATTTTTCGCTGATGGAAGAGAAATTAGTTTCCGTTGATGGAAAAGATTTTGAAAAAAAATGATGCAAAATGTCCAAAGAACGAATTCTTAAACAGTAAAAAAACCTTACAAAATTCAAATAAATGATTTTAGGGAACATCCGAGACCAATACGTCTATTAGCTCTCGCGGCAATGTCTTCTCAAAAATCGGTCAAACTGCCAGACAACTTCTTTCCGACACCGAATAATTATTTCACTTTTTCATATTTCCAGAACAAGTAACAAATCAAGTTACGGATGTCTTTTGTACATGTATTGTATCTTTTTGCAAATATTCCCTGTGAGTTTACTTTGATGGTGATCAAAATCTTACTGACGCGGTAAAGGATCCGAAAAACTGGTGAATATTTTGAAACTTCTGGTCAACGTAATAAAGCTTTAATATCCATCTATATTTTTGATAATTTCGTTGTTTCGTTCTTTTTTCCTTTCTGTAAAGAAATTTTGGCTATATATGAGAATTCAATTTCTGCAAAGTTTTGCATTTTTTCAAACTAAAAATATTAAGCTTGCCAAAAATCTTTTGATGAAGAAAGGAGATTATTGGAGACCTTCGATCTCTTTTTCCGTATATCAAAATTATTCATGTGTGAGAAACATTTGTTCTTCAATAAAACATGAGGAATAGCGTGCGATCCTTTTCAAAAACTTTCCGTGTAAGAAACGGGTTAAAAAAAACTTGGCGCTCACAAGGAACCGTGTTGAATCTCAGATTTATATTCACCCCGATGCACATTCGCTTGTTTTAATAATGAAAATTTGTGGTTTCATATATTTTTTTTCATTTTTCATGGATTTTTTGAAATCAAACTCTTATTCCTTTTCACTTAATTTTTGTGATTTCGGTTTTAAAATTATTCAAAGCCTCAAAACTCAAAACTTTGAAGCCTTGTGATCCAAAGACATGCAACTTCCGTTTTTTACTACTTTGTTTTTCAACAAAATAAGATTCGATGAGTCTTTTCATAATTGCTTCTGAAGGTTTAAATAAATTTTATTTAAATTCTGGGATGTTACACAAGAAATGCAATAAGCTCATTCTGATTGGATATTTTCTCTTTTTTGAAGAAAAATACGTTGCGACCATAATGAGATGAAAAACGTTCGAAAGAAGCGGAAATTGAAAATGTTACGAATTTTAGAAGGTCTTTCATGGTTCATTCTAGAACAAAACAAACCAAAACAAAAAAATGACCGAAAATTGAGAAAGTTTTCTTTTGCGTTCATGATCTTTAGGATTTTACATTTTCGAGCAAAAAAACATGTCAGTTTCCGAATTCCGTTATTTTTCAATCTCTAAACATCAGAATCTCAGAATCGATCTAGTAATTTGGGAATCTCAGAATCTTATTTTTTCAGAGTTTCATATTCTCAAAATCTCAGAATCTCGGTAAATAAATTTCTTTTCATGTTTTTCTTCGTTGTTTAAACTTTCGAAATCAGAAAAAATCAGTTGCCTGGTGCATCTACCCTCCAACTCCTTCTAAAGGTTCCCTCTACCCACGCAACGACATTCCGCTATCCCGCTCGGCGCGCGCGCAGTTTTAAATTCAGTTTTGAGTGATTGCGAGCTTGGATTTGGCTCGTGGTTGTTCTAGAGACTCTTTTAAGGATTTTAAGTGAGTTTGCTTAAATTCTAAGGTTTTATTTGTTGTTTCTTTCTAACTTGTTCATAATAAACCGATTTTGTTGCATTTCTTGTTGATTTTCTTCTATTTTATCACAGGAACCTGATACCCCGGACATATCGCGGGCAATTAATCGCTCTTCTCTGAATTTTCTAAAAAAAATTTCAAAAAGGCCATTGTGCTCTGAAGAATAATTTGATTACTGGTGCAATTGAAACGCTCACTTGAAAAACAAGCGCCAGAATATATTAATTTTTCTTCTCTCTTTTAACCCCATCCTCTTTTTTCGCTTTTTTTTTGCTTCCTTCCTCATCCAAAAAGAGAAAAAAATGGAATAGGATTTCGTCACACTATTCCAGCTCATTTATATCCCTGAAAAGAAAATTTGAGCATTTTTTCCGCATCATTCTCGTATCTTCTTCTTATTTCTTTTTCTTCATTGACATTTTTGTTCACACAAGTCAATATATTTTCAGATGACGATCGTTCTCATTCTCTTGGGTATAATTGCCGAGTTTCCAATATTTCAAAAAGATCCAATGCGTAAGGTCGCTACTGTTTCTTCGCCATTTGCATTTATGAATTTGCGTAATTTGGAAATGAATGGCAAATTGTTGAAAGTAAGTTTGACAAGCCAATAAAGTATGAAAATCGAGAAAAGTTTCAGAATGAGAACTTCATATACGATGTTCATTAGCTTCTTTTCCTCGCAACTAACTGTAGTTGCATGATTCTATTGGTGTACAAATGAGCGGGTTCATGAGCTGTCTTGAATATTTCTTTGTGAATAAAAATGGTTTAATTGAGTTGTTTTATCTTACATTTAACAGCAAAAACAAAAAAACAAGCTGACAGAAAAAATGCGGAAAAATTTTTAAGGCATTTTTGACAAGTTTAGCATAAAGATTTACACACAGTACTGACAAAAAATTATTATTTAACCTCATTTAAGTGATCGATAAGCTCCTAGTTTGAAATGTGAATGTTTTTCAAACTTCATTCGAAAAAGGTCGAGATCTTAAAAATGAAATGACACTGAAACCTATGGTGTTTCTGAAAATTTTTGGTTGATTTCTATCGGTTCATCTCATAAGAATAAATTTTATACTAAACAAGTATTTTTCTACAAAATTGTTGCTCTATTTCTGTTGGGTAAATTACAAAAATTTTTTTTATCTGGCAAAAAAAAAGATAAAGAGAAGCTAATCCTATCAAAATTGTTTTTCGAAAAAAAAAGAAAATTAGCAAGAAATACATATTCAATGAAAAATCAGATTCTTACCATATAATAAAATTTAGAATACATTATACAAAAAAAGGTCCTGGCCGGGTTCGAACCGGCGACCTTCTGCGTGTGAAGCAGACGTGATAACCACTACACCACAGGACCAGACGGGAGATATTCCACACCGAGCGTATAAGAAAGGAAAGAGGCGCAGAGGATAGAAAAAAAAGTGGTTGCGGTCGAAAGAGAAGACAGGAGAACGAAAGTGTAAACACAAGTAAACGTACTGAAAAATTTTGAGATTTTGAGTTTTTGGGATAATTAGATTTGAAATTCTGAAATTCTATAATTCTGAAATTTTATATATCAGAAAGTCTGAAATTTTGAATTCAGAAAAATTCAGATAATTCAAAAATTTCAAAAATTTTGAAAACGAAAATTCACAAGCTCGAAATTTGGCACATCAAAAATATTAAAATTGTGAAATTTAAAAAATAAAAAAATTCCAAGCTATTCAGAAAAATCAGGAGTTCGGAACATTAAAAAACTCACTATTTAATGTGTAGGTTGAGAAATTCAAGAATTTCAAGTTGAAGAAAACTTAGAAATTCAGCAATTTATCGAATTCGGAAGTTTCAAAAAATACAGAAGTTGCGGAATTCCGAAAACTGAAAACTCTTATATTCAGAGGTTTGAGATTCGGAAATTCTAAAAATCTGCAATTCTTAAGTTGTATAACTTTGAGAAACCAAAAATTATTAAGTCTTGCGACTTAATGTGAAATTCAAAATAAATCTGAAAACTCAAGATCTTGCAATTCGGAAAGTCCGAAATCCTGTAAATCTGGAATTCTGAAGTTCTGGAAATCTCTATATCATTTCTGAGTTTCAATATATCAAAAAATTGAAAAAAGATTCAATTTGAGGTTCAAAAAGTTTCGAAGTGAAATCCTAACCTTTTCAGTTTCAATTATGTTATTTTACGCATATCTTGATCATTCAAATGTCTGATAAAGCTTTATTGTTCAAAGTTGAAATTAGACGCTCTGTTCTGTGAACAAACTCGAGCAAGAGCTTGCCAAGCCTTGCCGCTCGATTTTTTGATGTGGAAGTCGGCCCTCGTCCATTTTTTTCCAAATCCCTTAACTTCAACTGTAGAGATCACATCGTCTCCATTATCTTTAATGGTCTGTACCTCGAACGATGGATATATCAGTTATTCGATTCATAATGGTATCGAGGAACCTGTTTGAAAAAATTGAGTGAATTAATGAAAAAGGGCGGAACTCACAAACCTGTGAAATGAATCAGGCCACTACAACCCTGGTATCGGAACCTATCAGACAGCACAGCACAAATACGTGTTGGATCACGATAGACTTCATTGTTGTTTCATTGTTGTTATCCATTGATCCGAAGAATCCGAGACTTTCTCCATCGAAATCCTCAGCTGTCCTGAAACTCAAAACAAGAACAGCGACCATTCCAATGATAAAAAAAAATTGAAGGCTTTCATGCTTTTCAGTTGAAAAAAACGAATGAATTGATATGAGGCTAGGGGATGAGCCCTTTTATAGGAGGATGCTAATCGAATTCAACTGGGAAGAACACCAGGGGTCTCAGTGGGCGGAGTCTGCAAATAGTACATGTGAACGAGAGAAAAAAACTGTGTTTTGGGAAGAGAAAGTTCATGTATGAAAAAATATATAGACTCTCGGAGTCCTAGGATGATGCAAACTTCCAAATTATAAGAATCTGAGAAAAACTGAAAATCTCATACTCTAGAAAATTATAAATCTCAGAACCGTTGATATTTGGAATTTTGGAACTCTGAAATGTCAAAATAATGTTGAAAACGATAGAATATCCACAAAATTGAACGTGGAACTTTTTAAATTTTTCTTGGGGTTTAAGAATAACTCGAAGCGAAAAATTCAAAAAATTCAATAATATTTGGATTTAGGCAACACTGGATTAGTATTCAAAAGATAACCTGGTAAAAAAGAATTTATCATCGAATCGTCGAACCATCCGGATGGCTTTTGTGCTCATAATTTCTCCAATTACTGTACTTGATAATTTATTGATCAGAAGAAAATATGGCACAAAAGTTATAACGGGAGTTCTAGATAAAATCCTTAACGAGATGAACCTAGAGAACGGGGAAGAAAATGGTAAACATGTAAGGTTGGCAAGATATATAAAAGAGGGGAAAAGGTAAGCAGAACTAAAACCGGGTGCTGGAAGATTGGATTAAAGTAGAAGATTGACCGGGAGTTAAAAATTGGGGAGTATTCCTTACAATTGCATTTTTCCTTACAATTGCATTATTCCCTACAATTGCATTTTCCTTACAATTGCATTAATATATTAACAGAATCGCAGTTCACTCACAACATTCTCCTACTGATACAAATCTCAATATTACATTTTCTGACTATCTGTAAATTCACATTTAATAAATTATTCTCAAGAATAGAATATCAAATCAATTCAAAACTACACCAAAACAGGTCAGAATAGGTTTCAAACAGACGAACAGTCGAGAGAATATCTAAACCAATCATTCTGGTATATTTCGAAATAGGAGAATCAATGAAAATCTGAATGGGTCATAATCAAGCCAACGTTTTCTGTGGTTTCCGAGATCTTTACCTGTGCTGAGCCAATAGCCAGCTGTGAGCGGGATATATCAAAACCAAGATCTTTAAGGTCCTGTCCCTTTCAACACCGGGCCAAGCGGCGTCGAACAGGAGCTCATCAAGTCCTACTGTTGGCATTAGCATCTGGTCAGTCTGGTTCAGTTTGGTTGCCGTGCGCTCAACTTCGTGTTCATCTTCTCCGTTTTAGAAATAAACAAACGAATGACAGAAGACGATTAGCATTGCACTCTTTATCTTATGCTTTTTTATTTGTATGATCTTTGCCGCCAATATCAACTTTGATTTTCTCATTTCTTGTCTTCAAGATACCCTGAAAAATGATGGAAAATTAGCCAACGCTTTGAAATGAGAATATGTTGCCGATATGGATTTAAAAAGTGAGGAAATTATCGGAAGAAAAATTTTTTGGATTAAGGTAGATCCCCGTAATTTTTAAAAATATTTTATTCTCGTTGTTTTTTAAAGTTCAACATTTTAAGGAAATTTACCTGTAACCTTCGAATGCTTTTTTATTTTTGAGATTACCGTCTTTGTTCAGGATTTCAGAATTTCAGAATGTTTTCAGCTTTTAATATTTTGTTATTTTTTTTATTATTTTAGTTCTCGTTTTTTTTGAAACAAAGCGGTTTTTCTTTTACAAAAGCACTTCAATTAGAGGGGCCCTTCTCTTTTTCCGGAAAGTTTTCATTGAAAAGTTCGAACAATTTTTGTTCAAAGTTCATGAAAATCTATCAATTTCAGCAAAATCGTGCTAGGTTTTTATCAAAAAATAGTTTTTCAACAAATTTCTTTTATATTTTGAAACTCTTGGAACATTTTTTACTGAAAACCGACGGAAATTTTTTAATTTCAAGACAAATTTTGAAGACGGTCTTTCGTTACAGGGGCCTTTTTATTACGGTGAGCTCTTTTATTACAGGGGGGCCCTTCCAATACAGGTTTGAACAATTTTGGAAAAAGTGTTTGGGTTCAGATATTCATAATTTAAGAATTCTCAAATTTTTTTCAGAATGTTTTCAATTTTCGGAATAACTGCAGTGTTTGTTAAATTTTTTTGAAAAGTTCAAAATTTAAGCGAAGTTTCTGGTTTAAAGTAGATTTCTAGGATTCCGGAATTTCCAAATTTCAGAGTTTCAGAATTTTGGAAAAGAAACGTACTTTTCTTGTTACCGCTGACTTATTTGACTTGGCTGGTTCAACAGGAAGATCATGATCCTCATCAACCTTGCGCCGCAGCGAATTCCTTCAGTCCACTTTTTGCTCCGAGCCTGGAATTTTCAAATTAATTTTGATCCAACTAAATCTTCTGCCTCTTCTGATTTTAACTTCTTCCAAAAAACGTACCATGTCGGACGATGATACTTGTTCATGTTGAAGATCATTGGCGGATGCCGGAAGTGGAGGTGGCTGTAGCGGAAGAGCCTGCAAACTCACATAGTTATTACCAAAAATGCTCCTGATATGTGTCAATAATGTCCCAGACACGCTGTTCTGCAACAAAATCAGTTACTGTTTCCTTCTGTAATTGTTTGAACACGATCCATCCATCAAGTACTATGGCAGGCACTAATAATATTAGGTTGGCAACTAAGTCTTTGTGCACTTTTGTTTTCCTCGTTCCTCTTAACTGAGCTAGAACAGGAACATGTGTGTAACAGGATATGGTATATAAGATGATAAGGTTGTTCACAATAACCATCATTCGCTTGCGAACGGGATTCCCCTTTTCATACCGACTTTTTTTTGGGTAAAATTTCTGTATATTCTTTACATTTATTTCTAACCTGAAAGTTTCCGATATTCATCACCGCTTGGAGGAAGTGAATTATATTATCACCTTAGATAAGAAGAGGGTCATACATACTAACCATCACAGAAAAGCCCAATGTCTTGACTTTGATAAACAGCCAGTAGACGTCATCAAACAGAAATGTCACCCAAAAACAGTGGGTTTCAAAAGGGGCATCCCGTTTGCAAGCGGAATGAAAGCAGGACAAATGATGGTTATTGTGAACAACCTTATCATCTCATCTACCATATCCGGTTACACACATGTTATTGTTCTAACTAATGTAAGATAAGAGAAAAGAGGAAAACAAAAGTGCACAAAGACTTACATGGAATGACTCCCAAGTGTTACCCTCGAAAAAAATCGAGACCTATATGGTTGGATAGAGCGTAAAAAGTTATTTCAGATTCCAAACGGAATAGTTGGTAAAAAATTTTTTTTGGCAGTTATGGTCCAAAAAGTACCAATAAATCAGGGCTGTCCAAAAGGCCGGCCTCGGCCGGCCGAAGGCCTCGCGCAATTTTGTGCGGCCGAGGCCGTCGCAAGTTCGCTTCATTGAGAAAAAGCCTCGCGAGGCCGGCCTCGCAAATATGACTACGAGTTGCGTTTTTTTTTTTAATTATTTGTTTTTTCTCGCTCTTTTTCAGCAAATCAGGCATTTTTTGAAAGTTTTCTCGATTTTTCGATATTTAGAGCATTTAAAAAAAGGAGGAAGTCAAGAAATCTTTTATTCAACACTGAGATAACAGGGGAGAGAAAATGACAACAAATTCAAGAAAATTAACAAAAAAAGCTTGTGTTCATGCATCAAAATCTTCAAGTCTCGCCTGTGTCGAATCGATCTTTTTCTTTGAAAATCATCAACTTTTCCAGCATTTTTAAGTCCAGGCTCTGACGATTTGGTGTGTACAAGTTTTTTATGATTGAAAAAGATCTTTCTACATCTGCTTCCGAAGCTTGAATCGCATGAACTTTTCGGGCGATTTCGTGCAAAATTGGATAGGAGCTTTTTGCCAGAGGCCAAAATTTCGATGCAGGCATACTTCTGGTGTCTCTCTCGTATTGCTGCTGTTCTTGATGAAGCGAACTGCTTTTTGGGGCGCTTGATCCGCCCAGAGTACGTTGAAGGAAAGTGAGATGACGTGCAGGTGGTTGGCTTTGTGGTGGCGCCTGATATCTCATTTCCTCAAAACTTTTTCCCAAATCGTCCAGAAGCTTCTGAGCATCGTTCACGATATCAATCGGAATCTGAAATTTACACACTAGTTCATGTTAGTGTTCGTCGTTTTCTTTAGTACCTGATGCCGATCGTATCTCAATTGTAACTCATGTAAATCTTTAGACGGAGGATTCAAATAGGTGGCTACAAAATGAATGGTATCGAGATCTGTGCACATTTTTCTCGTTGCTTGTTTCGCGAATTTGACAAGAACCTCTTTCTCTCCAGCTACCGAAAATCGATCAAATTCATCCATTAAGCTAACGACAAACACAGCCACATCTTTCAAACTGTCCGAATTCTCCTTAAAATGTTAATTATTAACAGCATTCTGTTTGAGTTGATAAACCTGGAAATATGTATTCGATTGTAGTAATGGACCCATTACATCAGATAGTTCTTTGTATCTGATTCTCCATCTTCGTCAATCCTTTCTTCCAAATAAGCCTGATGCCGATCGTATCTCAATTGTAACTCATGTAAATCTTTAGACGGAGGATTCAAATAGGTGGCTACAAAATGAATGGTATCGAGATCTGTGCACATTTTTCTCGTTGCTTGTTTCGCGAATTTGACAAGAACCTCTTTCTCTCCAGCTACCGAAAATCGATCAAATTCATCCATTAAGCTAACGACAAACACAGCCACATCTTTCAAACTGTCCGAATTCTCCTTAAAATGTTAATTATTAACAGCATTCTATTTGAGTTGATAAACCTGGAAATATGTATTCGATTGTAGTAATGGACCCATTACATCAGATAGTTCTTTGTATCTGATTCTATTTTCTATTTTTAGCAGTTCGTCCAGGTGCGAAGCAGAAGTTGGGGTCATCTCGGCAATAAAGGATCCTAATTTGTCAATGTTTTTGTAAACCGCAACAAGACACTTAAATCCAGAGAACCATCGTGTTGGGACTACATCCAAAAGAGACACGCCAATTTCCTTGTACAACTGAAATTCCGTAGTGAAACATGTGTAACTTTGAAGAAATTACCGCTCGGTCCTTTTTGAGACTCATTGTGAACAGTCGACACAATTCCAGGAGATCGGAATAGTTTTTCAAAATCGATCGTTCAAGAGGGGAAACTATTGTTGATTTATAAGGAAGCAGTGTTCGTTTTCCAATGATATCAGTCGCATGAGCGAAGCAGCGGACATCTGGAAACCAACCCATTTAGGCACTCGCAAATTGAGTGAAGCTTACATTGGTTAAAATGATCTGTTGCACAGCGACGAATATTATGAGCTCCGTCCGCTGTTAAAAATGCAGTCTTCAAATCCAAATCTTCGCCAAAAAAATTCAAAACGGCTTGTTTGATCATAATGAAAATCTGAAATGTAGTCTTGGCAAGTGAACTTGATAGCATCACGTACATTATTCGCATCTTTCACATCTCCGGACACTGACATATAGGCGATTGGAACGACGAGTGTCACCCATTTCAGACTACCATCTTCGTCAATCCTTTCTTCCAAATAAGAAGCCTTCAGGCACAAAAAATCTTCGTGAACTCGACCAAAATCAGCCATGAACGATAGGTATCCCGATTTCGCAATAGGCAACACCTGAAAATTCCCTTTTACAAATGGCCATGAGTCGATTATCACCAGAGTTCGCAACTTTGCAATTTCATTGTCCAGTTTTCCAAGGTATACCGTCGCGTAGAACTTCTGCTGGGAATAAGCGACATTGGTACTGATGTTGGATCCATTCGCTTGCTGAACAATACAATTTACAATGAGAACTTTTTTTAAAAATAATTATACCCGAGATTCAATAAATCGCCGACCAACGTTCTAAACGAAGAATTTTCCATTTCGTGCAATGGCCTTCCAGTGGTGGCAAAAAATCGTGACAGCAATCTCGATACATCCAGTTTTGAAGCATTCAAAACGATACGGGACGTAGAATTTCCAGATGTACTGTGTTTTTTCTGGTGGCGCCTATAGTTTCATCATAATTAATATAAAAAATGTTTTTGCCTACTGCAAATGGCCACCGTTATCTCCTATAATGCTCGAGCAAGATTCACACTTCAAAAATTTGACGGCGTTCTCTGCGCCGGTCGCATGATGAACAAACACCACTCGCATGTATCCCTGTTTATCAGTGCATTTTTTCTGAAAAAGAACTAATTTTTTCAACAAAAAAAAATTTCAACTAGCATAAAAACCGCCGAATCCTTCCTTTTTGTTCTTTATCACTAATTCACAATCGATTTTGTTGGGATCAATGAACCATTGAGGCATCTGAATTGTGTCTGAAATTGAATAACGGTTATAACAAATGAATAAATCGGCTTAAACCGACCATCACTGGCGTTCGAAATGTTCATGTCGCCACAGATCGATGGAAAAATCGAGAAAACTCTCAAAAAATGCGTGATTTGCTGAAAAAGAGCGAGAAAAAACAAAAAATTAAAAAAAATACGCAACTTGTCGTAAAATATGCGACTTGCTGACCGTAGTCACATTTGCGAGGCCTCGCGAGGCTTTTTCTCAATGGAGCGCGCCGAGGCCTTTTTTTTCTTCGGCCGAGGCTTTTTCGAGGCCGGCCGAGGCCCGGCCTTCGTTTTGGAGAGCCCTGCAATAAATGCCTAAATTTTCAAAAAATCATAACTTTGCCAGTTTATGTCCGTTTGTTGAAATTTAAAAAAAAACAGTAGATAGACAATTAATTGAACATTCGAGAATAAAATTTTTAAATTTTTTTCCTATTGATTGGATTATTGATTTTTTGAAAAAATCAAAAATTTTTTCAATATCTCAAAAATCCTAGGTTAACTTTTTTTCATTATGACCATTGAATTCAGCACATTTGATTTACTATAGAAACATACCAATACCCCGGGGGAAATCATGTCCACACAAGTTATGCCGAAAAATATCGATTTTTGGCACTTGGCTTCTTTGAATTCGTTGTCCTCGGCGGCCGGTATGGTGAGGGGCATACTTGTTTTTGTGATTTTTACTTGCATATCGTTTGCTTAGAGTGTTTGAAATAGAATTCTGCGACATACAAAATCAATATTTCAAATACCGTACCATTTCTTAAAATCGTCATCTTGAAAAAAGCAAAATTTTGACATGTGACAGGGCACATCTATAGTTAAACTTGATAGAAACGGCCAAACTCATTTTTTAACATAATCAGAAGAACATAATCTTATCAACGGCTTGAACAGAATTTCGATTTAGGCCCTAGAATCAAAAATATTTACGATTTTCCGAGCCTGACCCCTATTTTTGGTGAAGTGTGACATGTGACAGGGCACATCTATAGTTAATCTTGATGAAAATAGCTAGACTTTTGTTTAAACATAATTAAAATGACAAAATTTTATCAACGGCTTGAACAGAATTTTAAATTAGGCCCTAAAAATAAAAATATTCACTGATGATGGGACACCTTTTGTTTTTGATCATAACTTGAGAACGAAAAAAATATCAAAAAACTGTTAACGCCATTCGATTTAAAATTAAAAATTACTATTAGACAAATGTTATTGGTTTGTTTCGTATCGTGAAAATAGGTGAAATGGAAAAAGGTCGATTTCGGCTGTCCGAAGCTGGAAGGATATCTTTCGGAAATCGTTCATTTAACCTACTTTCACCACAGGGACCAAGTTGATTCCACTTTTTCTATGTTATTGTTTCATTTTAAATTAGATGGCGTTAACGGGCTTTCGATATTTTTTTTCGTTCTCAAGTTATGATCAAAGAAAATCCCTCGTTCGAATTTATATTCAAAGAGTAACGATTTGGATGTGTACGGTATTCTACCGTGTTTTCTCTTTTAAAATCCTCTTTCCAAGTCTAAAGGAGAGAAATCTCCCCCGAACACACGTGCAAGAGGTGTGGATTACTGTATCCGCGCGCGAAACTGTGTGCGCGCCAAAACGCGTCTCCTCTCTCTTGGCAATTCTCATCGTTTTCTTTAGTTTTCGCTGGTGTTCGCTCACGATTGGTTACGACCCGTTAAAGTGTGGCTCACTGGTTTTAAAGGTTTTATAGTGGTTTATTGAGTAAATCAATAAATAGTGCTTTATGGGAAATCTGTGTTCTGTTGTGTTCTAGTCTTCAGGTTACACAGGTCTCTTTGAGTGCATAGAGGTTCTGTGAGTGCATAGCGTTTGTCTGTGTCTCTCACTCTCTCTGCATCTCGTTGTTTTCAATAGTGCCTTTTAGCAGTTAGTGTTTCTGGGAGTTCTTTCAGGTACATTACTTGGGGGCCGAAGGCTTTTTCCGGGACTTTTTCGGTCTTTTGTGTGAATCTTCTACTTGATTACGTTCTATCGCTTCTTTGCTCTTGTTTGCTTCGTTTCTATCAGTCTCTTTGTCGTTTTCACCCGTTTCTTTGCCGTTTTTATCGATTTTCACTGAGAAGGCGTTCTGTCCGGCCACCGGCAGCTTCTTGCCATATTCTCTGCGATTTTCGATCTCTTGTAAATTGAGAAGGCGTTCTGTCCGGGCACCGGCAGCTTCTAGCCACTTTTCTCAGTTTGTGGGAGTGAAATTAGCTCGATTAGCTAAGGATCGGAGGAGTTTGTGCTGGAATCAACGTTTCGAGCAAGTGGAAGAAAGTGGTGAACGATTCGCTATCGTCTGTGAGAAGAACTGCCGAGTTTTGGAAGGATTTCCGACTGAGGAAGTGCTATAAGTTGATTTTTCGTCGAAAAATCGATAATTCCTGCTGAAAATTGCCGAATCAATTTTCAATTGGTTGTCAAAGGAGTGTGCAAGTATTCGGAGAGACAATTGTGGATTCTGAGAAGATTTCACTGGTTTTCAAAAGATTTTTGTGTGAGAAATTGATGAATTTCGTGTTTTCGGGCAAAAATCGTAACTTGCTTGCTGAAAGTTGTCGAGGAAGGCTTCTGTCGGGAATTCTAGGATTATTGTCAAGTTCTCAGTAAGATTTCCGCGAGTTTTCGTCGAATTTTCCGTTTTTTTAGTCAAAAATTGTGAAATTATTCGATTTTATCGATTTTCGGACTGGAATTTTGTGTCAAAAGAAGAATTTAGAAGAAGGAAGTGTTTCAAAGAAGAATTGCTAGCTTTTCAACAAGAATTCGTGGAATTTGGTGCCGAAAACTGACTTTTCGTCTGAAAATCAGTCATTTTTGTATCAAATTGTTCAAATTTGTGTCAGAGCTTGGAAGTTTCCATAGAATTTCGCTGTCTGCTGTCATTTTTTTTTTCGTCTTGGCTAATTCCCTAGTCTTCAGAATCTGTATTCGTTCGGAAACAAATTTCATCGTGCTCCTACAGTAGAAATGTCGGTTTTGAAGGGTTTCGTGCTTGATGATGATGGAATACATGGTAACTTCTCTTTAAAGGATTCGTCAGCATATTCTGCGAGTGAAAATGATTTTCTGGAACAAAAAATGGGGAAAATGATGCAAAAATGCAATTTTGAAAACCAGAACGCAGTTCAGCAGACTATTCAGAATCTTCAAAAATTCTCAAAGTTGTCAGGAAACGGAGCTTATAGTATGTTATTGCCTTTAATCAGTTTGATCAAAGAAAAAGACAATGACTCTTTCAAGCAGGTTGCCGATCACGACGATGTTGTGAAACGCATTCGTGTGTCATGGCAAGAAGAACGAGAGGGCAGGAAACGAATTCCAAATTTCGTAGTGAAGATTTGTGAGTGGATGCTGGATAATGGATTAAGGTCAGTTGAAGAACTTGAAGAAGAATGGAAGGCTGCACAACAAAGAAGACTAGATCTGATTTCGCTGTTAGAGAATAATACTGTACAGTTAGAGTGCGCGAGGAAAAGAGCGTATGATCAAACTGCAAAGTGTGAGCAGATCCAAAAGGAATTTGATTATCTCAAGATGAAAAACAGGAAGCTGTTCAAACAGCTAGAAGGTGCTCGTTCAAAATTTCGCAAAATGAAAGTAAGCCAAGAGTCTGAACAAAAACAGATTGTATCGGAAAAGGAAAGAAGTAGCGTTGGATCTTCTGAGAACAATGTCAATTCGTTCGAACATATTGAAAAGAAAAATCCTTCACAAGTTGAGTTACAGATATCTGAATCAGAAGTTGCGAAGATAGTTCTAATTGGTGTAAGAACAGAAAAAGAAGTTTGTGATCACAAAGTAGAAAATGGTTTCTTGAGTAATGGACAAAGTGAATTTGATACAATGATTTTGAAAGAAAACTCTACTGAGGACAAAGTAGATGAATCTGTGTGTACGGATATTAAAGACGAATCTACAGAAGGAAATGTGGAGGATTCGAAAGTCGTGTTGTGTAGTGGGGATCAACAGACTGATGAGTTTCAGAGATGCCGCACAAAAAGCACACAGGATAATATCAAGGATTTCAAGGAGATTGTGTTAGTCACAGAGACTAAACAGTCAAATGAAAAGTGCATGAGAGGAGAGATCAATGAAGGGTCTCGAAATGTTGAAGTGTATCAAAGTCAGGAAAATGCCCAGAGCAAAGAAATAGGTTTTCAAAGTGCGATCGAAAAATGTGATATTCTGGCCAGTATGGATCTAAAAGAGCAGTTTCATGAAAGAATTTCTGTATTCGAAACTCTAACAGTCATCGAAGAACAAATAACTGTATCAGAGATCATGATAGAACCTGCCTCAGGAAATTCAAAGGAGAAGGAAGAAAGCAATGTACAGAACAAGAAAGCTAACGACTGTTGGAAAAGTCAAGGTCCCCCGATGAGATTACTGTCGAGTTTTTGGCTTTGGTTTTCAGACAAAGACCAATCGCCGAATTCAGGAGGAACCGTGCCCACGGAAGGATCCACCGTTACTGAAGCATGAAGATACAAGTGATTCCCAAGTCAATCTGGATGAGGCACAAGTTCTCCTACACCAGGAATTTCGTCCACGTAAGGATCCACCACAACCACAACTATGTCATTCGAAGGATACTAGTCATATCCAAGATAAATTGAAAGCCCGCTTACACCAAGAGTTTCGAAAAAGGAAGGATCCACCCCAAATGCACCCAGATGTTACCAAAGAATTTGAGTCCCAACCGCAGCAACGTGAAGTTCACCTGCATCAGGATTTCCGACCAAGGAAAGGTCCGCCATGTCAAGAGCACCACCACCACAACATGTCACAAAGTCACTATGGTTCAATAACGGATTCATGGTCCAATTTTGTTATTGATGTGCACTGATGAGCCAAGTACACCTACAGCCATCACCTTCACTAAATTTCGTTAATTTTCTAAAATCTTATGATTGTAACAATCTTGCCAAATGTTTCCCCCATATACCTCTTGTTTCCTAATTACCCCAGTTTCTTATTCATTAAATTCTATATTTTCTTGCCATCCCATTCCCCACCCATATGAGTTTTAAGTAGTTGTTATTCTTTTAAGTTTTCTAGGTCCCGTCTACCCATCCCATGTTTTCATTAATTGTGATTTTGTGCCCTTTAATCATTGAGCTGAGGCAATCACCATTTTCACTCTTCCCACGTACGGGGACTCGAAAATGGACGGAGATGTACGGTATTCTACCGTGTTTTCTCTTTTAAAATCCTCTTTACAAGTCTAAAGGAGAGAAATCTCCCCCGAACACACGTGCAAGAGGTGTGGATTACTGTATCCGCGCGCGAAACTGTGTGCGCGCCAAAACGCGTCTCCTCTCTCTTGGCAATTCTCATCGTTTTCTTTAGTTTTTGCTGGTGTTCGCTCACGATTGGTGACGACCCGTTAAAGTGTGGCTCACTGGTTTTAAAGGTTTTATAGTGGTTTATTGAGTAAATCAATAAATAGTGTTTTATAGGAAATCTGTGTTCTGTTGTGTTCTAGTCTTCAGGTAACACAGGTCTCTTTGAGTGCATAGAGGTTCTGTGAGTGCATAGCGTTTGTCTGTGTCTCTCACTCTCTCTGCATCTCGTTGTTTTCAATAGTGTCTTTTAGCAGTTAGTGTTTCTGGGAGTTCTTTCAGTTACATTACTGATGTGAAGAAATTAATTGTTGTCGTTCTATACGATTGATTCTTGAACCATTGTTGCCAGTACGTCCTTTGTGTCTCTTCTTTCGCAACACTCTTTCTCATCGTGTGTGCGCGCACACGTAGCACGCTGCCAAGGTCCGCATGTGTGCTGCGGGTCTCGACGCGAAAAGAGTACGGTACGCGTTTTCTGTGATTTTTCAAATAGAAAAATAACAGTTTTTCCAATTCTATTAGGTTGTTCGGAAAGTCCTTTCCATTTTTAGCGTCAGATTCATTCGATATAAAAAAGGTCAAAACGATGTCAGATAAATTGAAGATAATGACCATTGTTATCAGTGACTATCTGCCAACGTCCCACCACATTGTGGATGCCTTCCTTCCAGAACTCCGGTCACAGCGAGTTAAAAATTAAGTCAACCCATTTTTGACATCATGCTTTGAAGTGAATTTTTTTCAATCAAGATGTCGGTAGAAATGGCTGGATAGGGGGTAGTCAGACAGTACAAGGTTTGGACTATACTGTAGATAAGACAGAACCGTTTTGCCGTATCCAGTGAGATCGGTCTCCGTTCTTCTTCCCGCTGAGGTTGCAAATTTCGATTTTGAAAATAAACCTTTGTGTTTCTCTCCAATGGAAATCCACATGGAGTCTGAGTTATGTCACCTGACAAAAATAGGTATCGGTCATAAAAGTGACACCATTATCTGGCAGCTCCCCACTCCTTGGTAGACTTCCATGCCGAAAACATCCCATTTTTAACGTTAATTTCACGTTTCGGGACGTCTGGTGGTTGAGTGCCTTTGTCAACCCACTTGGCATATTGCTTATTGTAATCACACATTACCCATTTATCGCCACTAGTAATGATTTAACTTCAACATTCATGTGTGCAACGCAGGATGAGAAGATTCAAACAAGTGCCCACCCGGGGAAAAAGTTTCGTTGAGCCAAAAGATGGGGTCAATTTCTTCCCACTTTTTTGACTGTGCCGAAAATTTTCAATCTACGGTTTTTTAACGAAAGGCTTGCCACTGATGTACTTGATGTATCTTTTTTGCAGGGGATTTTCGTCCAACGAGAATTTTCATTTTTCAAATTGATGAATCCAGTTTTTGGTGGTAATTTGAAAGAGTGCGCCTTCGTTGTTAACCTCCACAAATTGGTGATTGATTTCAGTTGATCTGAGGTCAGATAGAAATACAAATAAAATGGTAGTCCAAAAATGGAAATTATTAGAGGCGAAAAAAGGTGGGCATGAATGCGTCAAAACAGCAACGAGCTACAATGGTAATTTTTGTTCAAACATTCCAAAATAAATCTGCCACAGAAAATTGATTTTCAAAGTCTCGGTTATTTGCCCACGCTTTTCAAAAATTTCCAATTCCCCTAACTTATGCCCCAAAGTTGCCCACATTTACCGAGAAGGTTGTGTCCAAATTTTTTCTTCCACTAGAGAGTTTGGCTTGGTTGTCACTCGACCAGATGGTTGCTTGGCATCTATTCTGATCTGTTTTAGTGGAAATGAGAATACACTTTAAGATCTTCTTCGTGGAATCATTAAAGGTGGGGGGACAGGAGATTTTACGGGGGATTTTTGGGGCCAGAGTATGCATTCTACCGTAACGGTGTACAACGCTTAATGTCACTCTGCGTACAGCAGTCGCCCTCGCCTTTATGTATGCAATCGGGCAGCGGCTTTCTCTTTGCACGCGTAGCTCAGTCGGTAGCGGCGCCGCACCTTCAACACTCGCCTCGAGAAGTTCAACTCCTCGAGGAGCATATTTAAACGAAATTTCGACAACATTATTTTTCTCATGTCCCCCCACCTTTAATTAAACGAGGTGAGACAAAACAAAATTGCACCGAACTAATATAGGGCATCGGTCAGCAGCGGGTATCGCGTTTCATGTTCCGCCGCTTTTTAATATCAATTGTACTATGTCAAACATCAATTTGTGAAAAACTTCTGATCGCATAAAACGGGTTCAAAAGTCAAGAATTCGTTAGTGCCAACCATAAAAGTGTCTGATTTCCTCTCTCTTATATTTGTTGGAGCTCGAACTCATTTTTTCCCAGGCAAATAGTGAAGGTTTGATGAAAAAAATCCGACTTATGGACCTGTTACCCTTATTTTAAAAAAATTTGAACTCATCAAAATAACAATACTTGAAATCGAGATGATGCCCGACTACTTTTGATTTTTCGAAATTTTGGTTCTGACGTCTTCTGGAGACGTTCTTTTATTTCTAAAAAGCAAATCTTTAAAAACATTTTTGAAGCAATATTTACGTCATTCCCGTCAAACCGCCTAAATTTTTTTCTTATCCACGCTATTTCTGAGAAAAAGGTGACTTTGTGGGGACTTTATTTTAGCCTGGGTTTTGAAGATTTGAAAAAGATAAAAAATTCTGGAACAGGGGAAACAAGATAATGAAAAAAAAGAGACCTCGCTTTCGGATCACTCGAATTTTCAAAATTTTCAGAATTTCTGATTTTTCAACTTTTCAGGTTTCCAAAAAAAAAGGAGTTTCAAATTTTCCGAAAATTATTATTTTCGAATTATTGAATCTAAATTTCTGAAGTTCCAAAGTTCCCAAAACTTTTAAAATTCTTCTAAAGTTTCTAAAATTCAGTCATCAGTAGTTTCGAAACTTTAAAAATTGGAAAATCAAATATTCAGGAATTTTTGTGACTTCGGAAACTCGGAAATTTAGAAATTGAATTGTAAGATACAGTATACGGAAGCCAGAAGATTGAGCCCCAGGGGCGACTGATTCCCAAAATTCTGAATATCTTGATTTCCGAAAGGATAAACTCCCAAATTACCGCAATTCCGAGTTTCCTAATTGAGGATTTCAGAAACTCTGAATGTCTAAGTTTAGAATTTTCCGATTTTAGACCCGGAAAAAAAATCTCTGAGAAAAGGTATTGAAATCTCTTTTTGAAGTTAAGGGTATTGTAAGCGGAGGAAGCTTAGCCCGGAGGCGCGCAAAATTTCCTCAAGTTTTGAGATTCGAACGTTTTAAGTGTAGCCAGGAGATTGTAGCCGCCGACAGGCGGCGGAAACAAATGAAGACAAAAATAAGGCGGAGCACTTGTTTGGCAGTATTGAATTGGGTTATTATATGTAACAAAAAAGGTTAAAATTGAAAATATATGTTTTAAAATCTCAAATTTCAAAAATATAGCATTTGTTCGGGCAGCATATGGTGGACAAGCGTTGAAAGTTTTCTAAAAACTTTAGAAAAAACTGAAATTAAATTTCTAGGTCGGGCAGCAGTAAGCAATGACTTCTAACAAAATTAGAAAAAACTAAAAATAAGAAAACAATTGAAGATGAAATATCATTTAAATAATTTCTTGGCCGGGCAGCACGCCTTGATGACTTTAAACATAACTTTAAAAAATAACAAAATAATTTAAAAAACTGAAAAATAACATTTGTAAAAATAAATCCTTGTTATGGGCAGCATATCGCAGCAATCTTCAACATTAAATACTTCTCCAGGCAACATGTCTCTATAATATAATCCATGGGAACTAATTTGTTGAGACCTGAAAAATAATATGTGTGAGGTATTTACTGAGAATTTAATACGTTTACCCTAAAAATATATTTTTGATTGAGCTTCAGAAAAACCAGATTATAGAAGGAACACAATGAAGATACCAACTAGAAAGTGATCAACTATTTTTTTAAATGTAGATAGATATTCAAAAAAATCAAAATATACTAGGCTCCTTACACGAGGTGCCAACATCACCGATGAAATGCGAATGAGCTCCATGGGTCGGAGCAAATGAAACGTGAGAGAGATGGTGACGCTGAGAAAGGAGATGGCGAGATATCAACATGAAGTCCAGGCCTGTGCGGCAACAAAAATTTTTCGGCAATTCGGCAACTCGGCAGTTTGCCGAATGGTTTTCGGCAACGTTCGGCAACTCGGCAATTGCCGAAAAAAAATTTCGGAAAATTCGGCAAATTTCGGCAATTTTCGGCAACAATAGATTGCGTCTTTTTTTTGTAAAATCGATACGTAACTCACCTGAAAATGCTCCGATCAGGCTCAAAACTACAGAAAAGGTGCGTCATGCGTTTCCTAACAAAGCAATTACAAAAATTGGCAACTCAAGATCACATTTTTATGCTAACTACTTATCTTGAACAATAGATAGTATTCCAATGGTTAAAAATATTTTTTCTGATTGTGAGTTTTGAAAATAGTGCGCTCAACTTGTTAGGCAACTCACGACACACGTTCTCTAGTGATTTTAGACAGATTGGATAATTTTTAGATGAATTGCGACTCATGATATATTTTTCTCTTATGATCTCAAATTGGAAGCCCATTTTAGGACCGATGCAAGAAGTTTTGGTGATTATTGGGGAATATTTCCTCTTCAACTCATTTTGAGGTATAATGGTGTTCAAAATTAGGTTTTTCGAACTTCGAAATCATTTTTTTTTGATTGAAAAAATTGTGAAAATCTCTGCATTCAAAAAAACTTTCAGTTGCCAAAATTGCCGAAATTTTTTTGCCGAATTCGGCAACGGCAATTCGGCAACAAAAATTCGGCAATTTCGGCAATTTCGGCAATCGGCAATTCGTTGCCGCAAAGGCCTGATGAAGTCATCCATCTGGAAAGCAGATTACTATGAGCAGAAAAATATAAAAAGAGAGGGAAATCATACAAGAAGAGGTGAGGAAGAACTGATAGACGCCGAAGTAGAAGTCTTTGAGATAATTAAAAACATGAGATGCATTCTCCGCCCACTGAATATTTTTCACCTGGACGGAGGTGGAGGCAAATATCGAATTGATGAGGAATATCAAGTGGGCTAGATCATCACGTTACCAATGTTTTTGATTCCCAACAAAAAGTGATTTCAGAAATTCCGGTGATAAATAGAGTAAGGAAAACATTTGCCTGGATTAGAGGGGGATTAGGGGGGGCTTGTGCATAGATTCAAAATTTTTCTCAAATCATTTTCAAATCTGATGATCTTTCATCACATCAAGAATAAAGAAAATGTCAAGATTAAGACCCTGAATATCCTGGAAATGACGTTAATATGAAATGAATAATCCTACAAAAGTTTTATATAGAAAAATTGAACAATAAAAAAATCACGAAATTCGTGTTGGAATGCATAGCGCTTATCGCACATTTTCTCAGAAACTGGCAAAAAACTTCAAATAGTCCTGATTAAATTGCTACAAAAATTCAGAAAATAGAAAAAAAAACTATGATCTTTTCCTATACAAAGGTTAATGAAAATAGCGTTTTCCAGGACGAAAGAAAAGAAACATAGTCAATTTCAAAAAGGGTTTGCTCGGTCAGGGATCGCCTGCCTCACAAACTCTCTCCAAAATCTGTATAAAAAGAGAAACGAGAAACGAAAATGACGAACACGATTTAGAATAAACAAACGGTTTATTCTCAAACCAAGGCAACATAAAGAAACAAAAGAAACAAAAGAGTCCCGGACTCAGAAATAACACAAAGAGAGAAACCTAGAACTTTCGTACAATCACCTGCTCATGAACTTGTACTTCCAGAAAGGAATCTGAAGACTAAAAACTGAAACCTAGTAAGCAATTTGACACGTTCACCTGCTCGTGAACGGTCACTCAAAAGGAATGACGAAAAACGTCCAAAGAAATCCAGCAAAAAGGGAATTTCCCGCTGCCTGTGCGCTAGGGCGCGCTTGCGCGTGCAGTTGTTTGAGGCAATTCCAAAGGGAATTGTGCGGTTTTAAAAGAAGATTCGGAGAGAAACCAGATCAGAATCTGACGTCTCCGTCTTTTTCGAGCCCCTCTTCCACACGGCAACGGCATGGGAAAGTGTTGTGTCTCCTGGTGGCGGCATTGTGTGAACCACCAGCCAGACAGTATGTGAGTAGTAGATGAATAAGGACTTTATTCAGTGAATAGGGGACAACAGAATACTTTGGGGCAGGAGAGAGAGTATCAGAATGATCAGCCCCTTTATCTAGGAGTTCTGACCAAGGGAACAAATAGTTACGCGCGTGATGACAATTAGCACAAACAGTGGTTATTGCGCGCGCCTACTTTGGGTAGATCAAACTAAGGCGGATATTAAACTTATAAAACTAATGAAGGTTTGCATAGTCTGCAACACCTCCCCTTTTAACTATGATGAACATACAAAGAATGAACTAGACTAAAAGAGATCCTAGAAATACTAACAATTCTTAAACTAAAGTTTGGGGCATTCCTAGATTAATGATACGATTTATTTTTCGGCTTCATGACGAACTTTGGTGGTGGTTTGACGGTACGTGTAGATTTCCGGATGGGTTTTGGAAATGTACCGTGGNACTTCCAGAAAGTATTGGCGCTGGAGTTGTTGGTGAACTGTCGGGCAAGGTTGTTGACAACGGTGTCCAATCGATAGCGTCCATTGTGTCCATAGTGTCGAGTGGAACATCGAACGAAGTTGGAGTGTCACGACGGCGCAGTTGATTGGTGTGTCTAATCCAGAAGTTGTTGTTGTCCACAGTGACGCGGTACATTGTACGCCCAATCCGACGTTGAATAGTCCCTGGAATCCAAGTGGTAGTATTTATGCTACGGTAGTCTTTAACATAAACCTTATCTCCCACGTTGAAGTTGCGGCAACGTGCACCATGCTGGTTGTTGAACTGCTTCTCCATCTCTGTGTCGTGCGAGTTGGGAAGTTGGTCGGTTGGGAGAAGTTGATCCAGGAATGTACGGATCTTCCGGCCAATGAAGTTCTCAGCGGGTGATGAGCCATTTGGACTGGCGGTACAAGGCGAAGAGCGATAGCTCTGAAGGAAAAGATACGAGGAAGCATCTGTATTTCCCTCCCCCTTTAACTTGCCTAATGCCCTTTTAAGGGTATCCACAAAACGTTCTGCCTGTCCATTTGATTGTGGATGGAATGGCGGGGACCGAGTGTGTTGGATTCCTCGGTCTTTGCAGAAGTCGTGGAATTGAGCAGAGTGAATTGTGTTCCATTATCGGTCACCAGTGTCTCCGGATCTCCGAACTGTGCAAACATCTTTCGCAAAATGTTGATGGTTGCCGCTGATGTAATGGATGTGGTTGGAACAATTTCTGGCCATTTTGAGAAGGAATCAACAACTACTAGATAATAGGTTCCTTCGACAGGTCCGGCGTAATCCACGTGTACACGTTGCCATGGCTTTGTGGAAATAGGCCAAGAGCATAAAGTGTTCTTGATGGGATTCTTCGACACTGCCGCACACTGATCACAGCTTCTGACGATGTTCTCAATGTCTTTGGTCGATTGACGGNNCAGTAAACAAGAGTTCGAGCCAACTGTTTCATTCTCACCATTCCAGTGTGAGCACGATGGGAGCATTTTGAGCACACGGGCTCTGAGTGATACTGGGATGACGATTCGATCGTTGAACATCAGACAGTCAGATACGATGGATAGTTGATCTCGTCGGTTGTGAAAAAAAACGATTTGTGAGCTTTTATCAATATTATTTGGCCACGAACCTGAGGTTGTGTACTCGTACACTTCTGCCAAAAGTGTATCCTTTTTGGAATAGTCTTTGACCATTTCAGCTGTCACCGGCAATTGTTCACACGTGTTGACTAGATTTGTAATCACGTCCATTTCGACTTGGGCAATGACTCGATCTTCACATTCCTTCTGTTGGATTTGTTCGGAAATGAGTCTTGAGAGGGCATCAGCTTGTCCAAAGTCGTGAGCATTGACGTACTCGATGGTGAAGTCGTAATTGAGCAAGATTGTGGCCCAACGTTGGAGTCTATTTGCACTGTAAATAGGAATACCTTTTTTCTCTCCGAAGATCGAAAGGAGCGGCTTGTGGTCCGTTTTCAGTGTGAAATGTCGACCATGAATAAACTTGTGGAACTTCGTGACGGCCGTGATGAGTCCAAATGCTTCTTTTTCGATTTGACTGTAGTTGCGCTGTGGTGCAGTGAGAGCCTTACTGATGTGGTATATGGCTTTTTCAGACCCATCTGGAAAACGATGAGAGATCACTGCTCCGATCCCATATTGACAAGCGTCGGCAGCGACTATTATTGGCAGTTTCGGATCGTAGTGTGTGAGAAGAAATCCGATTGGAGCATTTGTTTAATGTTGTCAAACGATGATTGGCATTCAGAAGTCCATTTGAATTCAGCATCCTTCTTAGTTAATGCATCCAGTGGTGGACGGAATTTGAATAATTCCTTAATGAAGGTGCCGTAGAACTGTATGAGTCCTAGAAATGAGCGGACTTGACTGTCGTTTTTCGGTTCAGGCATCTGCTGAATCGCAGTCACCTTTTCGGGATCCGGTCGTCTGCCATCTTTGTCGATGCAGAATCCGAGGAATGTGATTCTCGGCATTAGGAATGTGCATTTTTCCAGTTTGACGCGGAATCCATAGTCGTCGATTCGCTTGAACACTGATTTCAGTCGTGAATTGTGCTCTTCGATTGTCGACCCGGTTATGATGATGTCATCAAGGTAGGCCGCGGCTCCGTCCAGTCCAGTGATCATTGCATCCATGACTTGTTGAAAACATCCTGGAGCAGATTTGACCCCGAATGGCAGTCGATTGTAGCTGAACAAGCCTCGATGTGTATTGATACAGAGCATCTGTTTGGCTTGTTCGTCGATTTCAATCTGTAAATAGGCTTCGGCCAAATCTATTTGAGAAAAATACTTCCCACCGTTTAAAGTAGCGAATATGTCGTCTGCAGTTGGCAAGGGATGCTGATGCTGTTGGATTGAATCGTTGAGCCCGGTAGAGAAATCTGAGCACATCCGAATCGATCCATTCTTCTTTTTGACAAGAACTATCGGCGCTGCCCATTCCGAATGATCCACTGGAGAGATAACACCTGACTGCTGTAGACGTTCCAACTCCTCTGATACTGTGGTCAATGCTGCGAATGGGACTGGTCGTGCTTTACGGAACACTGGTTGTGCCCCTGGTTTCAGCAGAATAGAAGCTTTAGTTTTGGTACATTTACCGAGCCCTGGTTGGAAGACATTGTTGAATTCCTTTTCCAAATTTGACTTCAGTTGTTCGCGGGTGTTGTCCAGGTAGTCGCATGCTGATCCAACATCGGAACTTACTGCGCAGATTTGTTGATTTAGGGTTTTCCAGAGCGTAGGATCCTTGGAGATCCAGTCGGTTCCGAGGAGTGTACCCGTTTCGGCGACATGTGCTTGTCCCGAAGCAACGTTTCCGTTTATGACGAAATTGCATTGGAAAGATCCTCTGACCTTTATCGGTTGATGATTTGCTGATTTGACTTGGATTGTGGGTGCTTGTAGTTGAGGGCGACCCAGTCGATTCCAATCTTTTGTACTGATCAAAGTGACGTCGGCTCCCGTATCCATCTGCATCTGGATTTTTGTTCCATTGATTGTGACGATACGGTAGATACGAGATGGTTCGAAAGTGGATGCGCTTCTAACCATCACCGACTTGATCCTGTTGTTTTTGCCTTTTTGATCTGTTTCTCGCTTTTTGGTTCTGCAAAATTTTGCGATATGACCATCTTTTTTTACATAGATGACATGTGACCTGCTTTTGGCACTCCTTTGCCCAGTGATTACCGCCGCATTTGTAGCATGGTGACGGTGGAGCCTTCTGCGGTTTATCCCTCTTGGTTTCCTTTGTGCTTATGGCGTTGATCTCTGATGACTTTGGTTCTAGTTTGCATACGCTTTTGGAGTCAGCTCGCACATCCAGAAGCCGTTTGATATTCTGCTCCAATTCTAACAGTGTACATTCTGGTTTCGCTTCCATAACTTGGAGAGCCTTTGTTCGGATGTCGGAGTAAGTGTTATCTCGTAATCCATTTATCCAGACCATACAGCATACTTGATCATCAGTCATCTTCTTGAATTCGGACGATGTGAATTTTCTGAGGTCCAGTATACTCTTCAATTGCTCCTCCAAAATATTCCGTGCGGAGGAAATCTTGGCGTTTCCGGAAAATCGATGATGTCGATTTGAATGTCTCTCGAAGTTTGCTGATGAGCTCCGCAAAGTTGAGCTCGTTCGGGAGTTTCGGTAGGATACGATTTGTGAAGTGAGAGTACTCTTTCGAGCTAAGTTTGGACAGAATTACCCTTGATTTCTCACCTTCTTCTAGAGATTCACCATCCTTAGTCAGGACATCCTCATATCGAGCGTACCACGTGTCGAAGGTTTGGTCGTCGTCTGGATCATAGGTGAAGATTGGAATCCGTTTTGATATCGATTCCACTAGAAAATTGTGTCCACTGGTGGGTGTAGTTGTCAACGGAGCGTTTGCCGGTGCTTGAGCGAGTTTTGCGAAGACGTTGACTAGCAAACCGATTTGTTTGGTGAGATCCGCCAATTCCGTAGCCTGATCGCCAGTTGTTGTGTCTCCTGGTGGCGGCATTGTGTGAACCACCAGCCAGACAGTATGTGAGTAGTAGATGAATAAGGACTTTATTCAGTGAATAGGGGACAACAGAATACTTTGGGGCAGGAGAGAGAGTATCAGAATGATCAGCCCCTTTATCTAGGAGTTCTGACCAAGGGAACAAATAGTTACGCGCGTGATGACAATTAGCACAAACAGTGGTTATTGCGCGCGCCTACTTTGGGTAGATCAAACTAAGGCGGATATTAAACTTATAAAACTAATGAAGGTTTGCATAGTCTGCAACAGAAAGCAAGAAAGAAGCTGGTATTTCAGCATGACTGTATGCTAAAACAGATAGGGGAACAAACAGGGAAAATACTATGGGGACCTAAACTTAAAATGATAATTTCCTAAACTCAAGGGTGGGACTTCTTAAGGGTGGATAGGAAAGAAAAAAAAAGATGATTAAACAATCACCAGATAATAATTATAAAAATAGCAAGAACAAAATAAATCATTAAGAAAATTTGAGTGACATCTTTTGGAACAGCTATTCTGTAGATGTACTTGGCTTTGAATGCAGACTCATAAACGATCCTTGATTATACTGTAGCTGACACTTCGGTGGATCATTGAGATGCTCGTACTGGGGTTGACACTGTGGTAGTGGATCCTTGAGAGGCCGCGTTGGTTCGCTCGGAATATTGACGACAGCAGGTGGATCCTTTCCAGGAGACAGGACTCCTTGATGATGTGACGATTCCTTTTGAGGATCAGCTTGCTCCTGAATTACATGCTGATGTTGATCACGAAAATTTGTAGACAAGCAGCGCGCATCACACTCTCTCATTGCCGAATTTATCCCCGGACGGCTTTCCCTATTCCCACGAGAAGAAGGCTGTGTTCGAGTAACACCGCCAACGGCGACATCTCCCTCTTTTTCGGACGGATCTGGCGAAACGTTCACAGATACTGGGACACTTCCAGGTCTTTGACCTTTATCTGGTTCAAGCTCAGCGGAGATGATTAGATCTCCATGATCTGGAATCTCATCTTCTTGAAGACAATCCTGAATGGAAGACTTGATAAATGGCTTCAACTGGGGATCTTGACATAGCTCTATGTCGACAGCTTTCTTGCCGATCAGCTCACATCCTTCCTTCTCATTCCTTGTATTCCTAGAAACCGACATTGACTCCATTTCAATCAGTTGATTCTCAATGTGCTCAGAACGAGTAACACGTTCCTCTTGCCCTTCTTCTTTCATCACTGAACACACTTGTTCCGTTGATTCTTTAGAGACTTCCTCTCTCAGCTTCTCGAGTTCTTTTATTTCTCCCTGAGCAATAATTTGACTCTTCTCTAGCATGACTGAATCCTCTCCAGAGTTACAAAGCGTGAGGAAAGATTTCCCATTTTTGTTGACTTGGCAGACGGACGCAGAAAGTTGATCTATTAACGGATGGACAATACAACACTTCGGATCACTGAAGTAGCCTTCTACCCATACTTCTACAATCTCTTGAGATCTCGGAGTCAGCAGAATATCCCTCATCAATCGAATAGAACGATGACCGTCTTCAATGTACAACTGAATCCCTAATGATTCAAAATTATTGAAATCCAGAATGACATCGCTTCTTGAAACATCGGCAACGTGGTTCGGAATTTTCGCAGTTTTGCAACGCATAGAAGTCTCGAGAACGACTATGAACAACAGCTTGATTAGCTCGTTATTAGCAGCTCTCGCATTCTGCATAGCAGGTTCCTTCACAACGTTTCTCTCCCACTCCTTTCCTTTCACTTTAACGATATGCTTCCACATATCCTTCGACATGATCGAAACCGTTGCTCCACTGTCAATCATCAGCTCCACATCCACACCAACGATTTTTCCTTTCTCCCATTTACTCCGAACGATACCATCAGGAGGTTCCGAAGCATTCACTTCCATACTACTTGCTACATACTCAAGAGTTGACACACTTGCATTGTGCCTCGAAACGTCAGAAGACAATTGTTTAGGATCTACCTTCTGAGGACAACTTCGCGCGTGATGATCCGGTGACTGACAAACAAAGCAACTCTTTGAACCTCTGGGAGCTTTCGAACAGGATGGCTCATGAAAACCTACTCGCTTACATCCCCCACATCCTTGAAACCCCAAAACATCATCATTACTTTGCTTCACTTCATCCTTCGGAACTGGTTGATACACATTGTCTCCCAGAGACTGCTGATTTGACTGACTCAACTGATTTTCAGACGGAAAAGACTGTGGACAATTACTAGAAGAACTAAACTGCACATTCTTGTTCGACGGATTAGCTTGATAGTTCTGACTAGGCGAGTTGAACCCATTCCGATTATCCTTCGGAATGAACGAATTCCTCGGCTGATGAGCATCTTGACGAGATCGCCCATTATCACTACCCGAAGCTTTTTGACGAATCTTCTCCCTTTCCATCATTCCACGCTCCATTCTAATCGCCTTCTTTCTAGCAGCCTCATACTGCTCAACTTGTGGAAGATCATCGATCTTATCCTGAACCGCCGACGTCATAAACTCATTGTTCGAAATTGCGCTGAGCAATTTTGCAATTTTGATTGAAGCAATTTGTCTCGGACTTATCCAAACAAATGCACGCTTTGCAAGTTCATCTAGAGCCAAGCAATAGTCTTCAACAGTTTCATTCTCCCTCCGACGCAGCTGTTCCCAACGAGTTTTCGCTCGATGAGACTCATCAGCTTCTGAAACTCTTAGCCTATCTGACATCGCAGCTATGACTGTTTCAAAAGATTCTTTCTCGCATTCAGAGATACTTTTGAACACTTTCAGCGCTTTTCCACCCAGGAAATTAGCTTCCAGAAGAATCACTTGCTGCTCTTCGCTTAGCCTTCCGTATTTCATTTTGAAAATACGAACATAAGCTTCTAGCGACGTGGATTTCTCTTCAGCTGTGTATTTCGGTGGCTCTGGTAAACGATCTTCAGTTCTCATCTGTTGCATCATCGCAAACATTGCCATCTCCGACGATCTACCCATATCCCAACTTGACTGATAATGCGGCTTAGCGAAGAACTTCTGTTCTTCTCCCCCATACTCAGGCGAAATCCCATTCATCGTCCCGTTGTGCACATTCTCACGCGCTCTCTCTTTTTCCAAGAAATACTCATCTTGCTTCCGGAAAACTTCCTTCCTGTCTGACCTCCATCCTGACGCTGGAATTCCTCATTTTCCTTCGACTGACTCAAATTTCCGCCTTCAATCCTTCCCAACATCTTTCCGGAAGAAATTGCTTTCAGCGATTGATTTTCTTCTTCGAGTCGCTCTTTGTCTTGCTCCAAATCCTTAACTTTTGATCGGAGAGACTTGACGATGCTCGAATCCGGTTTTGGCTCTTCATTTGACTCTGACGACGATGCGGCGGCGATTCTCTCACGTTTCTGCTGCAAATTGCGATAGAGATTAATTTCTCGCTTCAATTTACTCAACTCTGTCAGCTTTTCTTGAAGCTCTTCGACAGAATCAATTTCGTTTTCTTGCAAGAACCGTACCATGTCTGTCGCTGATCCTTGTCCTCCTTGATTTCCAACGACGGCGAGAGTCTGCTGTGGTGATGGCGACGTTGCATCGATGGCCTGTATTGGCGGTGTTGGAGACAAGCTCTGCAACATTTCAGCATCACTCTGTGATTTTGACGCCTCTTTTTGCAGATATTCGACCATTTTTATGTATTTCGCAATCAACTCTTCTCGGTTATCAATTAGCTCTTCTTTTTCAACAATTAATTCGAAAACGATATTCACCAGTTTTGTGATGCTATGCTCACTCAAACTAGTTTTCTGCTTGATTTCCGCACGAAATTTCGCTTCAATTTCGTTATTCTTCGCAAGTCTCACCTGGAGATCGTCGAGAAGACGCTCCTCGTCGATATCCATCTCGGTGTTGCAGCAGAAAAGCAATGAGAATTTGGCGAAAAAATACGAAATTTGAAGGAAAGAGCGATATTTGAAGGAAAGAGCGATATCGAAATTTGAAGGAAAGAGCGATATTTGAAGGAAAGAGCGATATTGAAATTTGAAGGAAAGAGCGATAATTTGAAGGAAAGAGCGATATCACGGCGAAAATTCAACAAAATCGGATTGAAAATTATTTTCAGCGGAAAATAATCAATGAACAGCTTCCGACAACAGATTCCGACACAAAACAAAGCTTAACACTTGTTTTCTAGCAGCAACCTCGAAATGGAAAAACAGGTTGGTCGTATTTTTTTTCAATATTTTCGAATAAACCAAATTTCAAAGTACAGAGTGTATACGACGGAAACGGAGGAATTGTCACTTCCAAGCATAGAAAGGCAAATGGAACTTATACCCCAAAAGAAAATTATCCAGAGAGCAAGTCGCTGTTGACACTGCTTTGCGGCTTATTCCAGAACTTGACTTCACAATCGCTGAAGACTTGACGGTAATCTTTTTTTTTCATACTTGTAAGGGGCCCGGCGGGCCCGTCATTTCACGAGTGTTGAAATTTTCAAAAATAACATTAGGGGGGACCCTCATGTTATTTTTTTCGACCAAAATTTTTTTTCGCGTTTTTTCGATTTTTTTTTTTGATTAGACAGACAAACAATTCAAAAAACTAAAAAGAATGGAAAAAATTATATTGAGAGCTCAAAACTTGGCTCAAAAATACAGAATTTTTGACACCGGGCCTTCCGAGCCGGCTCGGAATTGTACAAGTATGTTTTTTTTTTCGTTTTTTTCTAAATTCAATTATTTTTGTCCGACGCCGATGAACGTTGTGGCCGATTTTTTATTTGAAGGCGGATAGCTGGTCTTGAAGCAAATAGAGCTACGGTTTTTAGACAAATTCGTGCGCCTTTAATACAGTGGTTTGGAATTGTTTTATTTTTGCCTAATTCAATCAGATTTTTTGTTTGTTTTCAATTGAATTCTCATGAATTATCAGCCTATTTTTCTTATGAAGTAGAAAAGCAGCCCAACCGTAGCTTTTTGCGCTTCAGTACCAGCTATGCGCCTTTTAAAAAAATCGGCCACAAGGTTCATCGGCGTCGGACAACAATAATATCAAAAATTAACACAGTTTTAGGCTCTGAATTAATTTTCTGGTGGTCATTATGCTGTTCATTCGGACTACATAGAGTTTGATTCTGAGAACGCAACCAACGAAGTAATTCACTCCAAAGAAGGAAACCGATTTGCCACGTTTTTAATTGTTTTCAAAACCGCAACCTCGGGAGGTGCAACTTTGTTTACGGACTGAAGTCGCTGTGGGAGCCAATCCAGGTGACGTCATTTTTTGGTTTAATTCAAAAAGAAATGGAGAGAAGGTACGTTTTGGTCAATATGCACAAGCTTATTGAGACTTTGCAGTTCTTGTCTAAAAGAGCTTCATCCAATTTCCTGTAATTTTCAGGAAGAGCTCTTGGAACATGCCGGTTGTCCTGTCTACGCCGGCCAGAAAGTGATTGCCACCATCTGGCTACGCAGTTATGAACAGCCATTGTTGGAGCGATATCAAAATAATAAGAGAATATGAAATGTTTAAGAGTAATTTGTGAGATTTCAATTTTAATAAAGATCAGCGTATGGAAACTAGTGTTTTTTTGTTGAATGCTTGAATTAATGAAGCCTGCTCTTCAAGCTTAATTATCGGTTTTTGTGAGAGATACCAAAAATCTGTCAACTAATAATACGTTTGTGGTATTATGATGATCAGTTTATCAGTCAACAATTTGGATATCATTCAAAAGAACAGAGATGAGATGGCTCAAAGTTGAAAGTCAGGGGTTTCACTATCATAGTTCTTACAGTAACATAGCTCCCGAAAATTAGGGGTTTTTGTTGAATTTTAAGGATTTAAAGGTGGTGTACGGTGAAATTTTTATTGCATCAAAATGTGCATGTAGATTGACTTAAAAATAAAGAAAAAACTCAAAAAAAATTCCTTCATCGAGAAAAACGCATTGAAAAATACGCTGAAAGCCCTTAAGGACGAGGTTTTTTAGGCCGCCCGGTGAGTAAAAGCGCGCGAATTCAAACTTTTCAAATTTTTTCGTTTTCACTTTTTTTTCGGTTTTTTCAAGAGTTTTCTAGGTTTTTGTCAATTTTTCTTCCAGATACATCGGAAAATTTGAACAAAAACAGTGAAAACGAGCGAAAAAATTTTAAAAGTTCGAATTCGCGCGCTTTTACTCACCGGCCTAGAAAAACCTCGTCCCTAAGGGCTTTCAGCGTATTTTTTGATGCGTTTTTCTCGATGAAATAATTTTTTTTGAATTTTTTCTTTATTTTTATCAATCTACATGCATTTGTGCACATTTTGGTGCAATAAAAAATGTCGCCGTGCACCACCTTTAATTTAGTTTGATATCTATATGTATTTAATTATCATGTAATTTGTGCCAAAAAAGTTTTTGTTTAAAAAGTTTTTCCAATAAGATCAGTTGATTAACACTTCTCTAAAAACCAGAATGAAGAGAGGAACAATTAATTTTTTTGTGACTGAGAAACAGATTAATCTTTCATGATCTAAAAATTCCCTTTTTTCAAAATTTTTAAAATCAAAAACTATGGTTCCCATGATCAAAGTACAAAAAAACTCAATTTTCATTTCTCAAGAGTTATCAAATTCTCAACCTCCCCTTTCTGAGAAAAGTCTTCTAGTTCCCATCTTTGACAAACATTGTGCCGACAACCATATAAAAGCAGAGCACAGCAGCCCAAAATACCAGATCGTTCGAGAATGAAGATCCTACTTCTTTTTTCGGCTTTTGCCGTTGCTGTCAACGCCGTCCAATGGAGTGAGCTTGATTTCTATAACATGCTTCGTCGCGATTTCGCCAAAAACAATGCAATTCCTGACATGTGGAAGTTGGTGAGTTTCAAGATTTTCAGAGAGCGTTTTCAGATAGTTAAGATCATGATTGTTTTAATATAGCATATTTCAGACTTGGGACAAGAAGTTGGAGGTGCTTGCCAACAAATTCGACTGCAATGATAAGGCTGTGAGGAAAAATTACCGTTATTTCTTGACAGATGGAAGTCCACGCAATGAGTCCAAAATTGTCGACGCTGATACGCTCAATTGGATGATAGAGACTGAAAAGACAAACCCTGCTGAACTAACGAATACGGTAAAGGAGTGGGAAAAGACGACAGCTCGATTCTTCGAGTACGTCAACAATATCCAAACCAAGATGGCTTGTGGTTTTCCTCTTCCCCACTGCAAGCGCAATTTCGGCATAATGGGAGACATTGTTTACAAACGTGTTTGTCTTTTCGGACCTCAGTGAGTTTGCAAATGTTTTGAACTCTTCAAACCAATTCTATATCTAGTACCAAGCTCGGATTCTACCCACCAGTCGACCAACACTCGGGAAAAATCCCTGGATCGCAATGTGGGCCAAACGGAAAGAACGATGATGGACTCTGCGTTCCTAAGTGATTGATGTCTTATTTTATTAATAAAGTCTTATAAGCAAGCAGTCGTGTGTGCCATTAGAAACAGTAGTGTGTGGCATTAGAAGTTTTTGACAGACTCGTTTCCTAAAACGTAACTAGACCATTTTCAATGACATTTAGTCTTCCATTCAACAGATAATTCACTATTTAGAAAACTTATAAAACGTTGGCTAGTCTCATAAAGTATTATTTTACAAAAGTACATTTGACAACAACACTTATTGTCAAACAAGGAATCTTTTCATTCAGATTCGAAAAACAAAATATTTAATATTTTGTGCACCCTTGTCCGTAGTATTGTTTGACCAGACGGGCTGCAGATCCGATTGGTATGTCGGTTTTGATCTGAAAACAATTCATTTTTTAAATGTTTAATCAAATATCTGAAACTCAATTTAACTGAAGCATCGAGAAGATTTTCATAAAAATAAAATTCAGCTTCCAATAAAAACACTGTTAAAAACATAACACAGATCTTCAATCAAACAATGATCTTGCATTTTTTAGATGGAACAGGATATATTTAGGTAAGTTTCAGAAAAATAGTCACTAAATTAGGGGCCTCCATACACGAGGTGCCAACATCGGGGAATCAAATAAAAATGAGGTGTGAACGATCATGAAAAAAACAAGGAGGCATAAGGATTAGAATATGTGAGCAGGTGGGAAAGAGAGCTAAGTGAGGACGAGAGAAGCAGGTAAATGAAGTTATTAAATGTCATGTGGACTCTAAATGAATTTCAAAATTAGAATATGTATAAGGGTTTTCAGGAATCAGGTGATACTGAGCTTACGTAGAATGACTCCCAAGTGTTGCCCTCGAAAACCATCGAGACGTATTTGGTTAGAAAGAGCGTAAAAAGTTATTTAAGAATCCGAAACGGATAGTTGATACAACATTTTTTGGGGAGTTATGGCCCAAAAAGTACCAAAAAATGGCTAAATTTTTAAAAAATCATAACTTTTGTCAGTTTATGTTCGGTTGCTAAAATTCAAAAAACAGTTGATAGACAAACAACTAAACTTTTAAATAAAATGTTTTTTTCCTATTTTTTCAAATTGTTGACATGTCATAGGGCACATCTATAGTTAGACTTGATGGAAACAGCCAAACTCTTTTTTTAACATAATCTGAATGCCAAAATCTTGTGTTCGTCTTGAACAGAATTTTGAATTAGGTGTTGTCAATTTTCCCCATTGTCTCGGGACACTGGCAACTTGAAAACGCTATAACCCAGAGTCCCCCGATTTTCCAAATAAAATTCCACTAGATTATCCGTTTCATTCGGGTCATATTCATTCCCCTTCTTATCATACTCCGTTCACTAATCACAATCCATTATTTCGTTCACTAACATAAATATAATTTGAATAAGCACCAACAAGCGACGTGACACGCACGCGCCGCTCGGCATTAGCGCCGACATGAGCGGCGCATTCTGCGCACGCAC